ATTCTCCTATACCACTCTATGTTCTTATTGATCCTCCACTTGAATTTACAGCATAGTTAAATTCTTAGCCAAACATGTGTTTTCTTGACTTTTTGTGACTTAAACCGTTTGTTAAGTTTTGATAACTGTTGCATCTATAGGCGTTTCTCCACGTCTTTAATACACTGTTGTAACATTATAGCTTCTCACTTTTCACTCATATGATATTTACCATGGTAGCCATTTTTTTTAGTTGACAAGTGGACAAATGTAATGCATTGTGGGATACTAACCACTGGTTAAATCATTTAACCTATGGTTAATTAACCAGGGGCTAATTTTATTTTGAGAAACAGATATTTGACCAGTGGTTAGTTGGCCAGTGAATATAGAATTTAACCACCGGCTAACTTAACCAGTGGTCAAAATTAACCAGTGTTTTGAGCAACCCAGTCCTGGTCTCTAAAGATTACATTGATATTGTTAATGAGGAACTCCAACATCTTTATATTTTTTTCTCAGCAGTTAATATTTCGGTAATAATTATATAAGAACAAATAAACACGTGCTTGTTTAATTTTACAGATTTGAAGGACATTCCTGGCTGGAATTGACATTAAACCACTTGGCCAGACCACCAAACTGGCACATGCAAACGACAGTTAATTCACGTAGTCGGAGTGACACAAAAATGCCGAACAGAAGCCCTGTTGTTCAAATGAAGCCATTCTTCAAGTATGTATTCTTGAGGGTTTTTGTTTGCTCTGGACTGTGTGTGTGTGTGTGTTTATTAAGCTGAAGAAAATCATGTTAAAAAAATCTAATATGCAGAAATTTAAATTCATGTATCTAGGAATTACATATTGTAAATTGAATTGGGCTATGCGCATTACAGAGTATTCGTTGAAATAATAATTTTTAATAAGGAATTTCATGATTTCATTGATTAAATCCAATATTAATTGTATTGATTTTAGTAAAATTTATGAAATCCAAACTATCATATATGACATGTATCCCCTGAAGAAAATTCACGATGTTACACAGCAATGTGATGTTTGAAACAACATCGGATTACATTTCATATATAGTGCAATAAGCACAAATGTGCATCGTAGGGTTGCACTTAAATAAGTATGTCAATCTTAACAACATTGCTTTCATGCAAGAAAACTGAAAGTGGTCTCTGTCATTGTATGCCTAACTCGTATTCAGGTGAATCGTTCTTTAACTACCTCTCTCCTCTGCGCCGTCAGTTTGCACTGCGCGATCCGTCTGCATACTTGCTAAGTATTGTCTCAGCCTTGAATTCTGCTCCTTTGAGCAATTGTGGAACTCTACTTCTTAATTCTCTGTTTAATTTTTTTCCTGGCGATTCTCTAGTTATGATATGCGGTGTACTTCGGTAACGTAAGAGAAAATATGCATATATTTCAAACCTTCAGTCTTTGCATTCTAGTACCGATCTAGTGCCGATTCATAGTGCCGATCTATTTAGTTCTACAGCCTCTCCATTAGATTGAGGCCAATATATGTTTAATATTGTTCCCTGCAGAGAAATTTTGAAATTCATTGGAGATGAATTGTCTGTTGTTGTCTTTGACGATTTCCCCCGGTAATCTCTGTTTCACTAAGGGTGCAGTTTGCATATGCAACTGATTGAAATTCCGTTATTGTGTTTCTGCTCCAATATTGCTCCGACTCAGTAAGGACTTTCGTCAACTTTAACTGTGTTTTCGATTCAGTTGATATTTAGAGGATGTACGTAAGACCAATAGCCTTTCCAATGCTGCTGTTTGGTCAAAATCCCACTTCCATTTTGTTGTTTTTCGTGTAAGCTTAAGAATATTGGTTTGATACGAAAGCCTGATGGGATCAAATTATAGGAATTTTTTAAAGGCGTTATGGGCAATAACGCCAAACAAGGCGAAACAATTTAACAAAAGAGAAAAGGCGTTATAACGCCGAAAAGTGGGATATTACGCCTTTCAAAAGGCATGATAACGCGAATTAAAAAAGAGTTATCACAATGCCTCATAACAACGATCGGTCCGAAAACCCATATCACGTATCAGACCAGCGTACAAAAAAATCCATATTAAACCGAAAGTAACGTTTTAATCAGTTTTAAAAGTAAGGTTTAAAAGTAAATTACCCCAATTTTATTGAAATATATATGCAATAAAATTCATATACATTTTTTTTTGACTTGAATTGTTTTAAAATGACCTAAAATTGGCTCTATAAGTTTTTAAAGAAAAAAAGTCAAAAGACACGAATCAGTCGTAAATGACATTGAGTGGACTCATATAAAAAATATTTTAAATACATGATAAGTAGAATACTACATACTAAACTTTATATCATATGTCATATCATCCCTCGGTCCTCATACCAGCCCTCGGGCCTTCGGCTCTCATGCTAATATGGGGCCACTCGGGCTGATATGACATATGATATATTGATACGAATTTTAGTATGTATTGTTCTCTGTTTATTATGCCTTTCAAAGGGTGTACTAAATCAAATTGAAAAGGTGTTATTACGCTTTTTGAAAAAGTGTAACATCACGCAATGGAAAGACGTATAACACTTTAAGAGGCGTAGTAATGTCGATCAAAAGGCTAATGATATAAGGGATTTATAGCTTTTTGTCATTGGTCAGGTTTAAATAAGATTTTCAATAGATCCATTACTAACCTAGCACTAGCCTTGGGTATGTTACCAGAGAACATAAATTTCATAATTTTATGAAAGAGTGAAACACTCATATAAACCATACAAAAAATTTGCCTGCTGAATGACATGAGTTAAGAAAGAGATTTTCAAAGGTGTATATTCAATACATGTCCAACCTAGTCCCACCCTGGAGCTTGAACCCTGGATGATCCATCGGGGCATGGTTTTCACAAAAGATAAGATTGGCTAAGATCCCTACCCCCCCCCCCCCCCACCCACCCCCCACCCCCACTGCTTTGGGGTGTCTTTTAGAATGATGCAATCATTCATAATCAAATACTGTTGTCATTCCCGTTAAAAATAAGCACCGATTTTTAGTGATAAGATACGAAGAGGTCACAGGAAGGTCAAAGAATTTGTCAATATCCATTTTTTTCTTTTTCTTCCTTCAAATTTTCAGCAATATTAAGACACATTTTAATTTAAAAAACACAGAGCGCAAGTTAGTGGAATTTTGTTTCTTAAATCTTTCTTTAAAAATAATTGAACATTAGTTCTCTTTGCGAAGCATGCAAGTACTGAAATGAATTTTGATATTTGCTTGTAAAGATTTATTTATTCAATCTTGTTGAATTTTGTTTTAAAAAGTAAGTGTAAAGATATTAAGTTATATATTATTCTACTTTTAAAAAAAAAAGACAGAAAATTGACAGGACCTTTCTCCACTATGACTTGTTGTAATATCTGTCTTTAACTGTTGATTATGAGTTATATATGGCACGCCAAATTCACAAAAATTTTTAAACATACTGTAGTTTTCACAGTTGATAAACTAGGTTTATCGACTGTAGACTATAGTTTACGGACTGTAAACCATAGTTAACTATGTTAATCTATATTTCACATTCTCTAAACCATAGTTAACGCCTTAATCTATGTTTCACAAGTGTAATCTACACTTAACACCGAAAACAATCATTTGCGATTGCAAAACATAGTTTATCTGATAAATACTGTTTCACGATTTGTAAAATATGGTTTACGACTCTAAACTATATATAGTTAACGTGTGTTAATTATAATTTACGGTTGTAAACTATAGTTTATAGATATTTAAGGCGCCAAATTCACAAAATTTAATTGTGATTAATATAGTTTTACAGTTGAGAAACACAGATTAACGCCAGAATCTCTGATTTTGTATCGGAGATGCACAGTTTTCTGTAAAACTATATTTCACGACTCTAAAATATAGTTTAACAAAACTATACTTAACAATTATAACAAAACATCATCTATGTAAATAACATTCAAATGACCAAATTTCCTAAGTTCAGAGAGAACAGGCTTCATGATTTTAGTAAAAATACGTGGAGCACTAGCTAGTCCCATAGGTAAACAGGTGAACTGATATGTTTTACTTTCCCACTTGAACCTAAGATATTGTCTACTACATTCATGAATTTTCACAGAATAATAAGCATCTTTGATATCAAGTGAACTAAACCAACAATTTAATTGTTTTAATTAAAGATAATGCGGACCTTAAAGTCTCCATCTTGATATGACGATTGTCAACAAACTCATTTAAATTCTTTAATTTCAGAATTATTCTAAAGACCCACCTTTTTTGGGACGCAGAAAAATATTTGAATAAAAAGAATTCTCACATAAATTCTCATTCACATGAACCCTTTCCACAATTTCTTTCTTCAAATTTTTTCTTCTTCTCTGTTAGCTGCTTCATGTTCAATTTCAGAAAATTTTAGTGAATTTGGTATGCGAAATTGAATTCTATCATGTAACCTTTAACAACATCGAGAATCCAACTATCATGAGTCAGTCTACATTTTGATACCAAAAAAATTTGATTTGATTTGCCTGCAGTAAAATTTTCAGGTGTGTTCTTCAATACGAAATGATCTACATTTGTACAAATATTAGACATACTAACATCATGGGTAACTACTGATTTGACTCCACCTTCTTTTTCTTTTTGAAAAATATTGTATTATACTCAATTATACTGAAACGCAAAAGAAACGCAACAAGCAGTAATCTACAAATATTTGAATTTTTTATCTAATGATGTTCAAAAATGATACAGTAAGGTAAAACTCAATTTAAAAACATCAGAGATTTGATAAAAATGTTAAATGATTATCTTTTAACTTTAGAAAGTAACACATGACTGTTAAAACACCCCCACCCCGGCCATTCCATTACAGCGTGTAAGACTGTCATGCACAACAGTTGCAGCTTGATTTCTACGATGCAATATGTTCATCGATCTTGAGATCTGAGCGAAAGAAATATTCTTTGCCATTTTAAATGCCTGTTTTTCAGATGACGAGTTGCCTGCCCAAGTCGTCTCCAAATAAATTTTCTGATGAGCTTTCTTCAGAACATAAACTAACAAACTGTTTGTTTTTCTCAGGCTGGATAATTTGTTCCCGCCTCTTGTAAGACAAGTTATGGAAAACACATTTCTGAAACTTCAAGATGTCACCACACAGCTGTTTTGCCTTCTTAACATCAACCAACCATTTTTTCGAGTTGCAATTAATGAGCATATCAAACAGTCTCAATGTCGGAATCATGGCTTTTCCCATAAGATTCTGGGTAGTCTGTAATTTAATGTCACTTGCTCTGTTTTTGGATGACACGTTTTCCCATATGATTTTGTTGACTTTTAGCGCAGAAACATTGTTAATGTTTTTTGGCCTATCATACTTGCTGGAGATTTCTTTAATTTTCTCCGAGTTATCTTTCGTCATGAACATTTTCCCCGTTATCTTTGCCAGTTCAGAACTTAACGGCTCGATTGTCTTATCTTCATCACCGAAAAATTCCGACAGTTCATTAAGAGCAGATACCTCATCATCATCTGATGAACCATGAATACTATTGTCTCCCTCAATAAGGGAATTGAGTGCGTCATCGGCATCCCATTTATCTGAATTCTCTACATCAGATTCATCATCCCTAAGTTCATAAGAAGGACGATTACAAACTTTAGACAGTTTTGTTTTCTTGCGAGGGGGTGGCGAACTACTCTTGTTCAGTCCACGTTTCCTCGAATAGTCCGGACTTGTATCCACTGAGGACCGATCAGACTTCAAAGCAATAAGTTCTTTTTGAACTGATGACATAGTCTTTGACATATATGCAAAGTTACGCATAAACATGTCAAACATGCCATTCACAGAAATATTACTCTGCACAGCAACTGGTGTCGAAGAATTCGACTTCGATTGCATCGTGTGTTCATTACGAGCAGCATCCTCGTCAACTTGATCTACGAAGTCCAAGCTGTTGGATTCTCGCATGTGTGATGACTCATGTGCGATGGCTCATTAGCCATGACGAAAAAGAAAGAATGCAGTAAAAATCTGATTCTCTTTTAAAAATGCTGACTCCACACCACATGGCATGTAAAAGCAAATGGCGCAAGGGGCTCCCTGCATCAGTGACGTCATTAAAACAAGTACTGCACATCTTGATCAACACGTGTTGAACAAAATGTGCAACGCTATAATTCCCACATGGGAAAAAGCGCAAAAGAACATGTGTTCTGAATAGCAATATTGCTACAACCCACCGGCTACAAGACCAGTGAAAATTTTAATTGATAAAATCCGAAAAGAAAAACATAATTACTCGCGTCTGTGTGGCATACTTCTGCCCCCTACATGCAAGATAAATTATGCTAACATGCAACATTGTGTAGACATGTGACTTATTTATGTCAACATGCAAAATAATTATGTGGACATGCAAGTTACCAATTTCTTTAGAGAATCTATAGTTTTAATATTGGTAAACCTACTAACACCATTATATGACATCATACAAGCAAGATACAACAGGATTATGTAGACATGCGACTTATTTATGTCAACATGCCAGATAATTATGTAGACATGCGACTTATTTATGTCAACATGCAAGATAACTATGTAGACATGCAACTTATTTATGTCAACATGCAAGATAATTATGTCAACATGCAAGATAATTATGTTAACATGCGAGTTAATTATGTCAACATGCGAGATATGTATGTTAACATGCAACTTATTATCTTGCATGTTTACATAAATACATTGCATGTTAAAATATAACTCGCATGTTGACATATATAAGTCACATGTTGACATAAATAAGTTGCATGTTGACATAAATAAGTCGCATGTTAACATAAATAAGTTGCATGTTAACATAATTATCTTGCATGTTGACATAAATAAGTCGCATGTCTACATAATTATGCTGCATGATAACATAAATAAGTCGCATGTTGACATAAATATCTTGCATGTTAACATAATTATCTTGCATGTTAACATAAATAAGTCGCATGTCATCATAACTCTGTTGCAGCTTGCTTGTATGATGTCGTATACTGGCGTTAGTAAGTAATTTTACCAACATTAAAATTAGATTCTCAAAAAAGATTGGTAACTTGCATGTCAACATAATTATTTTGCATGTTGACATAATTATCTTGCATGTTGACATACTTTTCTTGCATGTTAACATAATTTATCATGCATGTAGGGGGCAGAAATATGCCACCATACTATGCGTCTGAACTATGAAAAGACACACACTTCTATGATTACGTGACCTTGAACTACACCTCATTTGAGACTGAGACTCTCAATGGGAAAAATTTTAATTTTTTTTTTTCACAGTCGTTTCCACCCCTTTCTTTGTGTTTTTCTAGAGCAATCACGACAGGCATTGTATGTTTGGGTTGTATTGTTTAAGCATTGAATCTTTATTTTTTGAAAGATATAGTCTCATAACTGCAACGGTGTGTGCAAACAAATTGAGTAACGCGCGTTGGACTGTTGAGCATGATTACTGTTTGTCATATCTTCATATGGCAATTGAAAAAAAGAAATTGTCATTTCCTTTTTTCCACAAAAAGATATGTCATAGTTTGTAAAATATATGTATACATACAAATATTCTGTATTTAAAATAGCATAGCATAGCTAAGTATTGAAATGGTCTATATATAAGCATACAAATTGAGAGCAGAACAAACACGGACTCCTGAAAACATCATGGTGGGACCAGGTGCCATGGAGGAGATGGCATTCCCTGTCGACCGTTCCCACCCGCTGTATTAACTTGCACATTGATATGTATTACATTATTTTTTTTTCCATTCTATTTTCTATTCTGTATTTGTTTTAACTTTATATTTTTAATTTCGTTTTTTACAGACTTGGAATGAATAGATCATACAGCATTCATCTCACTGCTATAGATGAGGATGACGATGTAATCTTCTGTCGTTTTGCCAAATACGTGGAAGCTGGTCCAGCTATTACGAAAAGAAATATCCCAAACACCGTAGTGGATGTGAGTTAAAAATTTGTAAAGATAAAAAATTGTCACAAGCAGTCCAAAGGAACCCAGTCTCCCATGCATTCATGTTTTTTTTTTCTTATAAATGCACTATTGGCGTGCTAGGTGTTTCATGATATAGACTCAAAGTGTCTCCAAGAACAATGCTACTTGGCAATTAGATTTTCTTTGCATGAAAAGAGAAGTATATGACTAGCAGAATGCAGCATGGGTTTTATAAATCAAATTCTTGTTGCCATATTCCAAAAAATGTCTCATATATATAAAAATGAACCCGATACCATTTTTGTTTGCACATCCTGCACGGTTTAAGGTTTGACCAAAAAATGATTGAAAACAAAATAAATTTAAACCAGAATGCCAATATTACATCTCATTAAGCTTTACATGCATTAAAATCTAAATAGACTCTATCCCTATATTCAATCTTTAACATCTTTAAACATGAATTATTTCTTTTTATGTTTCGTTGTTATACGCGAAGTCGCTTCAATCAAATGCTTTAATAGCAATCAATGTAACTTAATAATAGGCTATGTTAAAACCTATTATTTTAATTTGCAACAATTAAATTTCAGGAAAACTGCACGATAACTATCGACACATCTGACAGTAGAACATTTCAGGAGAATGCTACTGGAGTAATTGCGGTCACAGTGCAAGATTACCCAGCAAAATATTTGACACTGAAAGGAGACGGGACAATAAAACAACCCTATTTGCATGTCTTAAGCGCTGTTTCTGTTCAGGTGAGCCATTTCATAAAATAACAAATAAAATTAAATAATATTCATGTAAATTTATGATGTAAAACTATGTGAAATGTTGCATGTGCTATATCATACATTGCACCTCAAATTACTAGTAAAAGAGCTCATAGAACTGATTTAATTCGTAAATTCGTACGGTAAATTTTGTCATTTTTCTTTACTTCATTAATTTCATTTTTAAAAAATCTCATATATATATATATATATATATATATATATATATATATATATATATATATATATATATATATATATATATATATATATATATATATATATATATCAGGGATGGGGTAATTGATGAAAGTAATTGTAATTGAGTGTAATTAATTACATTTTTCAAAGTAATTGGAAGTAATTTGTAATTGACCATTTTTTCAATTACTTGTAATTGAATATAATTGATTACAATGAAAAAATACCCTGTAATTTCAATTACTTTTCAATTACATTTCAATTACTTCACATAATACATATTATGTCATTTAATAGGGAAATATTTCCAACACAGTCACATTTTACAGTTATTTTAATTTATTCAAAGAAGACCTTCTGTTTTTCAAAATCTTAAACTCTTTTATATCTCAATAAATGAATTTGATATATTTGCATGTTTATCAAAAATATTAGTTTGTTTTATAAATAAATTATAATGCGCAAAAAGAATAAATTCTAGTTTAATGTTTATCAAAAAATTTGTTCTACCTCTCATTGGTATAGGCATGAAAACATTTCAATTTTTGTTGCTTGATCATCAAAAAAGAAAAGAAAATATTTTAATCTGTCATTAAGTAAATTGTTATCAAAACAACCCTCCAAAATTTTATATAATTTTATTCCATGCTTTCTTTAAATTCAAAGTTATGACCATTAGACGTCATTTACTAAATTAATAAGAATGCACTATTTATATAAATATACTTCAGAAAAGAAATAAATATTGAATCATTATTTTAACATTTTAACAGATCTTTATATATATGTATGCATTTGGTATCTGAAAGTTATTACACAAAACAAGTATTTTTTGTCAACATTTGCAATTTAAGGTGTTTTTAGCTTGCCTAGCTTGTAGCTTAAATAATTGGAGAGTATTTTATGGTTGATTCATAAACTCTTGAAAATGCTTTTAATCAAATTTCATAAAGGCAGTCAATTGATTAATAAATGTACATGTAGATTGATGAAACACACAAACATGACAGGCACCTGACATTATTTATTTTAAATATCCTCCCCAAACCTTAAATTTACATCTATATATGTATTTTCTTCAAGATTTTTAAAAATGAAACAAAAGTAATTGAAATGTATTCAATTACCTTCTTCAAAGTAATTGAGAGTAATTAATTACATTTGTAAAAATCAATTTAATTGTAATTGCAAGTAATTGACAAATTTTTCAATGTGTTTGAAGTATTTAATTACATTTCAAAGTAATTGACCCCAACCCTGATATATATATATATATATATATATATATATATATATATATATATATATATATATATATATATATATATATATGTATATTATCTGCATCTGAAATTTTCATAATATATTGATGCGAAGCATCATATCCGCCGATAACTTTTCACGTGCTGATCAATAAATCCTGAATATATGTCACATACTGATGCCGCTGATTTCATGATACCGCTGATTTCTGCAGATGATTGACATCACAATATACATATGATAAAAGAAATGTCGAAAAAAAACGTTAATTATGTCATAAGCATCTGTAGAATGTTCAAGACAAAGTTTAGTACCAATTTTCTCTTTATTTTTTTTTTAATTACTGTACTTATCCGGAAACTCGTATCGAATTCCCCTATACATTACACACTCTCATTCTATAGGGAGCACCTCTTTTATAAAATTTTGTAAAATCATATAATAACGTTATATCTGATTAAAATTGAAAAAAAAACTTGAAAAGCATGAATATCAATAATTCATATATGTTATTAAACAGTATTTTAATATTTCATTCATAACATTTCTGCATGCTATCAAAATAGAACTATTCTATCGGAAAAAAATAACGTCTCGTTTCCCCATGCGCACTTTCTAAAGCAACCATAAATAGATCGCCCGCTGCCGATAATAAGACCCTTTATCTGTTTTAAATAAAAACAGAGACTTAACTGTTCCTAGTTCCCAACATCTCTTTTTTTTAACCAGTCAATTCTGTACGAAACTTTAAAATAAAGACAATACTCTTTCTTGTAGAATTATTGGTGCAAATCTTAATATGACAGTATTTGTAGAATTTAATTCATGGTGTACCTTATGTGCTTTGAATGTTTAAAAGATTACAAAATTCGGTGAGTTCCACTTCCAAAATAAATAAAAGAATGAATAAATAAATATCTTTTAAAAAGCCAAAAATGAGTTGTAATAACTAGAAAATCAACTCTATGTTAAGAGAAAAGATCTCGTTTTAAATAGAAAATAATTTCGAGAAATTTGAAAGAGATAATTTTATCCTTATAATGAGATCATTTTACGCTATTTAAAGAGTTAATTTTCCCATTATTGAGAGGTTATCTTCGTCAGTCTTTCATTTATTTAAAATGGAATTGTTTCCTGTCATAGAAAACAAGATTCTGATCTCGCAATTACGAGATATATTCTCTTACATCGAGTTCTCTTCTTGGAATCTAATGAGATATTCTTTACTATTTCTTTCCCAAGAGACTCATCGGCCTTTTCCTCAGAACAATGCAAATTATACAACAAAAGATGATTTGGCTACTTTGTAAAACGTAAGAGGAGTTTTGTAAAATGATTTTTGGCAGAAAATTCGTTATACCCCCTCCTTCAATTCATCTCCCGGATAAAAAAAATAAAAATTTTGAAACGTTAAGCACATTTACAGGACGTCACCAATCAATTTTCAGAAAATGAAATAGATACTGCTTATAAAGTGTAAGAGGAGTTATTTGAATATGGTTTATATAGAAAATTATCATTTTTCGACACCAAATTGGCCTCAAGTATGAAAATGAAAAATTCTGAAACCTCTTTGCACATCTTCAGGGCACTACCATAAATATTCCAAAAGATGATTTGACTACTGCGAAAAATATAATTGGTGTTCCGGGAACCATGTTTTTGTAGAAAATAAGTTGTTTTTCGACCTATTTCAATCATGATCCAAAAGATGGAATGGCTACTTTATAAATGGTAGGAAGAATTCTTGGGAAGCAGGTTTTGTAGAAAAAAAACTAGTTTCAAACTGACCCCTAGGGTTAAAATAAAAAATTTAAAATCTTGATGCACATTTGCAGGACACAACTAATCATATTTCAAAGATGATTTAGCTACTGCTCAAAATACGAGGAGTTCTGGGAAGCAGGGTTTTGTACATGTACATAAGCGTTGTTTTTCGACCTTAGTTTGGTCCCAAGTGAAAATAAAAATATCGAAATTTGTTGCACATCTACAGAATACCAACAGTAATATTCCTAAAGATAATTTAGTTGCTACATAAGTTCCGGAAACCAGGTATTTGTAGAAAAACGTCGTGTTCCGGTACCAAATTAGCCTCTAGAATGAAAATGGAAACTCTGGAACCTTAATGCATATCTACAGGTCACCACCAATCATTTTCTTAAAGAGACATGGCGACTTGAAAATTATAAGATGAGTTCTGGTAAGATTTTTGTAGAAATTGTTTTTGACCTCCAAATAATCCCCAAAATGAAATGGAAAATTCCAAAACCTTATCGCACAGCTTCAGGACACAACTATTTATCCCAAAAGATGAATTGGTTACTGCTTTTAATGTAAGAGGAGTTTGAGAAAGAGGATAGTATGACAGAGGAATGGATGAAATTGATGTTACAATATTCATTTTTTTTATAGGAGTTATTCAGACAGCACTGTGGACACTAAAGCGCATTTAGACTTTTAACGTCTGTGCAAAAAAACTAAGGTGGTTCCAGTAGTCAAAAAATGGTGCATTGTTCCTTCCATTTAACATGATTTAACTCCCCTGGTTGTCTTTGAAGTTAATAACAATTGATATCTTCATCTACAATGCCATTGAACAGATTTGAATCATTTTTGATGACAGTTTTTGTAATCTGAGTGGCTTGGTCTGGGCTCACCCTTTTTAATTAACTTTTTTCTGTTTTCGTAATTCACGGGTAACCTTAGATTATGTCTTCTGCTTATTTTTGTCGCATGTTCATAGGAATTGTAGGTATTTGTCTGCCAATCTGTCTTCCTGTCTGGAAGAAGTTACATTTTCAGAAAACAGCATAGAACTCTTTAACGTTAAACTACATCATCGCGACACTCAAAGAAACAATACACCTCAGTATAAGAGGCTGACTTACATGGAGTTTTAATAGATATTTCAAGAATGTTTTTATAATATTGTTGCGTGAGAAATTTATAAAAATGACTTGAAGAAAAATTATTCAAACAGGATATTTTTAAAAAGTTTCAAAAATGCCTTTTCTATTTTTTAGTTTTTTGTGTTCATTGTGAAACATGCTGACGAGCCAATTTTTGTCGATCCCACACCGCCAAACAGGCAGACATTCATTATCTATGTAGGAGTTGAATTTACTGTCGATTACTACGCCCGGCCAACTGCACCTGAACCTTCAAGGTTTTGTTTTCTTTATTCATAGACTAACCAAATCAACTTTTGTATTTATCACATCGGAAACGATACCAGTATATATTATGGCTCTTATATGATTTGACCTTTGGGCCTAATGTTGTAGACATTCAATGAAGAATATACCATTTAACCATTTAATGTCTTACTAAGTGGCCAGAGTTAAAAAAAGTATCCAGTTTTTAATAGTTCATATGTCAAATTATTTATGTTAATAATCATGTAAATGTTTTTATGAGTAGGATTTATATATAATTATTTAGCCAATGAAACTCTCTAAAGATATCCAGTTGTTATTCCTCATAACACCATATAGAATTTAAATGCTGGTAAAAATTTCATTCCATAGTAGTCAAGAATATTCCAAGTTATAATTACACAAAGATACTCATCAAGTATAATCAGTCTAATTATATTTTGTAAATTTACTGGATGGAGGTAAATACAAATTTTACAATTAGATAGTTTTCATGTTGTAAATTTTGTTTTTCACCTCCAGAACTTACAACATTATAAAATATAATTTGACCATGCAAACAATTTAAATGTACAAATGAGTAAATAGAAGAATATGACAATCATAAACTCAGAGTCTTGCACAATAGAAACATGCAGGTTACTGGGTATTTGACATCTTCTTTTCATGCAATACTCTTGACAGTAAAGAAAAAGTGTGTTTATTGCCATTCTTTGTATCTTTAGAAAATGGAATAAGAATATCTCTACAATCTAATGGAAATCAGATTTTCTCAGATCCGCGTAGTATACACTCTGAGAAGATCTGATTTTAATTAGATTGAATACTTTTGAAACTAGTAAAAAAAAAAAATAAAAAGCCGTCCAGTATTTCAAACAATCCTGTAAAAATTTATTATTCATAAGGACATATTTAATAAAATTCTTTAGTATTCTTGAAAAATTAGACTTACAAAATTCTAACTTGGTCTTCTTGCTGTCTAATCCAACTACTAGTATTTACAAATGTATATGACTTTGTATAATTAAATTCATAGTTTTGATAAACATATTTTTTTTATTGCAAAAATTATTCGTTAACAATTTAACTTACCTTCAATAATCAAATGACCTTGTTAGCAAGTATTACCTATCATTTGGTTGTATTTTGACTGACGTGTTTCATCCTAAATTGTTAGGCCTTTGTTTTTATACGAAATTTGACTAGTCTACGGAATATTCCGTCTACCTGATCAATACCTAAGGCTCACGGCCAGGGTGACCTGTCGACAGGGATGCTTTCTTCTCCAAGACACCTGATCCCACCTCTGAAATTTCCGGGGGTAAATATTTTATGCCCTGTTCACAGATCTGTATAGTTTATAGTTTTTTTTACTGTTTGTTTCCTTCACCTTTTTCATTGATATATCTGTTGGACTTTTGCGAGAAGCGCTGAATTTTACAGTCGACGGCTTACTTTGACATTGTCATTTAAACCTGCATTATGTACGGAGGTACAGAATTGATAGTAGAAAGGAAAACAGTAGTAGTGGTTTTAGGTATGGTATTAGGGGCGCTAAGATGATTTAGCAGTATACAATCAACACAAGAGATGATGTTATATAGAATAACATAACTTAAAATACCTTTTTCGTGAGGGGTAGTATCTCCTTTTAATCTCATTTTTGAAGGAAGAAAAAACATTCCTAAAGGAAAATTTACCCGGAGTTGGTCAAAGTGGGAAGGAAGGGGGTTTAGGATAGGATAGTTGCCGTTCCCTTCATAGACAATGTGAATCAAGTTAATTAACTATTAAGCTAAATATTTATATCGCAAAAGAGTTTCCGTATATTGTCATAGTGTAAAAGTTAAACTGTCGACTGTGAAAGTCAACTCTTCTCGCAAAAGTCCATTAAGCAACTGCCATTGATATATTTGAAAATTAATAAGTTATTTGTCATTTAAAAATCTTTGTTCTTTGTTTACCGACGAGTTTAGACCCTGCAGTTAACCAACCCCCCCCCCCCCCCGATAATTCAAGCCGAGCGATTATCTTGGGGATTTGGCTGTCAGAGGTCAGAGAGGCCCGAGAGGTTGCGATGACTAGTTAGGAAACAGATCATATGTGACGCTTAGACGAAACATAAGACTTTTGGTTACATGATATAAAGCGTTTAACGTATGCGCTAACCGCTTAAAAATTGGTCTGAGGAAAAATACTCTTTCATAATTTTTAAAGTGATTTATTGTTAAATACAGAAAATAATCTTATGTATAAACTAGGTTTACTGAGCATGTTGATGTTTGTCTAACTCTTCAGAATAAGTTTCATTCATTTGAACAAAAACACTCAAACTAATAATACTATCTTCTACATGCTACCATATTATGTTCATTACCAGGAAAATTGAGAGATTTGAAGTAACTAGAACAGGCGGAAGAGACACAAATCAGACCGGCATCACGTATCTAGCAAGACAACGGATAGCGAAAATAACGGTGTCCTGGGTTCCAACAGAGACTGATATAGGAAAGGATATTTTGTGTGCAAGAGTGGAGGATAATATGGGGTAAACCTATGAGCTCAGATTAATCTTCGTAATCTCTATACATTTTATGAGATCAGTCACATACCACTTGCATATTACGTATTTATTTTCATTTTTTTTAATACTAAATTGAGTTTTTCATCTTTAAATACAGATTTGAAACAGTGGATCTTCATTGTTTCTCGATCGTTATTAAACGTAAGTAGGTCCCTGTAAGGGAATTACACAAGCTTTGTTGACAATATTTATTTCATGCAAGAAAAAAATTGACATGAGAATATGAAGCTCATTTAATAAGTGAAATATTAACAAAAGTCTAAAAGTACTTTAATTCAAAGTTCTGTTTCAATTTTTAGCTTACACATCTAATCCAGGAAAAACGTTTAAGGCAAGATTTTTTTCAAGAAGATTTTATGAAAAGAACTTCATTTTTCCTAATGTTTTGTGTTCCCTTGCACAGCAAGGGAACTTATTCAGCACTTAAGGATCAAAAATAATTTTCATTACAAGAAATAAAAAGTTTGCAAAGTATTATTACTGATAAAACTACACCTTCCCCAAGCGTTTTGATTTCGTCATTTGTATTTTAACGTATAATACAAGACACACATTCTTTGAATTCATATATTTTTTTTTTTTTTGAAAGATTTTAATATTTTGCAGGACTTGCCCTACTTTGTTCACTTTCCAGAGCCTGGAGATATCATTTTCCCTGAAAATTCTTACTGTAAATTTCCAGTATACGCTGCCTCTTCTTCCACTGGGTATGATGGTTTTCCCAAACTTCATAAGAAATAAATATCTCTTCAATAAATGATTGCTAGAGAATTTTCAGATCACACCGATTAGAATATTTTAGATTGACTTTTTTTAGTAATACTTCGATCGTCCTGGTTTTCCGCAGTTCCCCCCCCCCCCCCCGTCTGCACTGCATTTCCACAATTTTATTTCAGCCCCCTGTCTGCTTTTCCACGACTTCTTCTCACTACTACTACAAAGTTTTAACTATGTATTACATGATCTCCTTTATTTGATATCTCCTTTCTGGGAATTTTAAATGGGCACGGATAACGCTTGGCATCACACAGTTTCCGATATTTTCCTGAATTATTTCATCATAGATTTTCTGCTCTGTATTGAGTACGAAGTCAAGGTTCGATAAAATGGTTGGTGATAGGTTTCAAACCACATGGGAATTACTCATACTGAAACAAATCGTGGTAAACAATGTATCTTATACGATGGATATGTATAGTATATATAGAAAAATCAATGATTTTAAGATTGGCGATGTTTCTTAGCGATACATCGCAGGAGAGGTATGCAAAGCCAGATTGGTCTCCTCAATAATTATTTGATTTAAAAGTTTGATCCCTATCGTGTTTTAAGTAATCCAGAGAAGTCGATAGTCTTTATATTTTTAAAAGGTCTTACGTCACGTTCCTCAAATATCTGATTTGTTTCTCTTCGTAATATATAAAAAAACATTCTTAATATTAACATTATCTTATGATTTCTAAACTGTTTTCAGAATGTCTTAGAAAAAAATGCATAAAAAATTGTGATATTGACAATTCAAGTGATTTCAGATAGGATTAATATAGAAAACACCACCCTCTGGTATCTTGCACAAATACCTGGTAATTAAGGTACCTCAATTTTTTGTGAGAAAACTTGTTAAAGAAGCAATACTTCAATGACAGATTCTTGGGGAAAATTATATACGAGGGTCGTTCAATAAATAATGCAACAAACAGTATATCATAGTAAATGTAGATCTATTTCATTTTTAGGTCACCTGAGTCACTCAGGTGACCTATTGCTATATGTTTTTGTCCGTCGTCGTCCGTCGTGCGTTAACATTTAAACATTTTCAGCTTCTTCTCTGAAACCGCTCAACCAATTTCAACCAATTTTGGCATATAGCATCTACGGGTGAAGGGGGACAAAAATTGTGAATTTTATTGTCCCTGCCCCCCTGGGGCCTGAGGGTTGGGGCTAAAACCACCAAAATTGATGCAATCTTTAAAAATCTTCTTCTTTACTCTTGGACATCAAGCAGTCAAACTGTTGGCATGATTGTAATAAGCATTGAGCCCTCTACCAAAATTGTGAAATTCATGGCCCCAGGGTCAGGAGTTCTGGTGCTAGGGCGGGGCTATATAGATCATATAGTGAAAGTGCACTATTTCTTTGAAAATCTTCTTCTCTGCTCCTGGGTATTAGATAAACTAACTAAGTACATAATTATGTTGAGAAAGACTGCCTCTTCCAAAATTGTGGATTTCATAGCCCCTGGGTCAGGGGTTCTGGTGTTAGGGCGGGGCCCTATTGATTATATAGTGAAAATGCAGTAATTCTTTGAAAATCTTCTTCTCTGCTCCTGGGTATTAAATAAACTAACTAAGTACATAGTTATGATGAGCAAGAGTGCCTCTTAAAAAATTGTGAATTTTATGGCCCCTGGATCAGGGGTTCTGGTGTTAGGGTGGGGCGCTATTGATTATATAGTGAAAATGCATTAAATCTTTTAAAATCTTCTCCTCTGCTCCTGGGTATGAAATAAACTAACTAAGTACATAGTTATAATGAGCATGGCTGCCTCTTCCAAAATTGTGAATTTCATGGCCCCTAGGTCAGGGGGTCTGGTGTTAGGGCGGGGCTCTATTGATAATATAGTGAAAATGCATTATATCTTTGAAAATCTTCTTCTCTGCTCATGGGTATTAAATAAACTAAGTACATAGTTATGATGAGCATGGCTGCCTCTTCCAAAGTTGTGAATTTCATGGCCCCTGGATCAGGGGTTCTGGCGTAAGGGCGGAGCTCTATTGTTTATATAGTGAAAATGCATTAAATCTGAGAAAATCTTCTTCTCTGCTCCTGGGTATGAAATAAACTAACTAAGTATATTGTTATGATGAGCATGGCTGCCTCTTTCAAAATCATGAATTTCATGGCCCCTGGGTCAGGGGTTCTGGTGAAGGGGGGGGGGGACTCTATTGATTATATAGTGAAAATTCCTAATTTCTTTCAAAATATTTTTTTCTACTCCTGGCTATAAAGCAAATAAACAAGTGTATAGTTATGATAAGCAAGGATGCTTTTACAAAATTTTTAAAACTTGTGGTCCCAGAGGTTCTGTTGTTTCTCTGAGGTGGGGTGGGGGTGGGGCTCTATTTGATTATATAGTGAAAATGTATGAATTCTTTGAAAATTTTCAACTAATTGCATAGTTATGATGATGAGGGTACCTCTTCCAAATTTGTAAATTTTCATGACCCAAGGTCATGGGTTCTGGTGTTAGGGTTAGGGTAGGGCTGTGTTAAATAGTGAAAATGCATTATTTCTTCGAAAATCTCCTCTGCTCCTGGGCGTATTGGAGCAAACAGAGTAAAAGTTTTAAGAAGCAAGGGTATTTTTACCAGAATTTTGAACATCTGGACCATTTAGTCAAGTGTTCTGGTCCTGGCAATTTGTATTCTATTGAGTGAAGTTATTCCCCTTTGCCATTCACTTTTGATAATTAATCACTGTAGATAATGTATTTGAAAGGTTAATAGAATAAGAGAATTATGCAGGAACATTTATTGTATAATACAAAAAGTACTTTCATCGTTTTAATTATCAGGTAGACTTGCAAATAATAGATGAATAAAAATGAAACAAAAATAACTCATCCTCTTAAATGTTCTTCAAAGGCCAAGTGAGGCCAATGTAAGAGGTAATAATATACATGTAGACATTTTGTTAAAAGTCTGCATGGTAATAGTGATAAATGGGGGACAGATAGAAAGATACAAGATCAATTATTTTGTTGATCTTAATTGTACTATTTATCTTGCTATTGGGCAACAAAGCTTCATTTATCAGTTTATGGATCCCCTAAATTGTTGTACTCAGGTGACCGTTAAGGCTCTTGGGCCTCTTGTATTTTTTCATAGTTGAAACGTCCAATTAAAGAGCTCTTACTCACAAAAGCCCATGATTTTTCCAATTGTTCTCGCAGAGAAATTCACTTTTAAAGCATGCACGGTCGCTACACTGAGCTGAAAATGATATCTGCCGAGGAGATGAAATGAGAGCGATACATGTGAAAACTGTGCTTCTTTACATAAATCGCCGAAGAACTCGTATCAAAGATATGATTTTTATATGTGAAAAGAATAGTTTTTAACGCTGTATAGTTTTCAGATTATTCAGAAATTCAAAAGTAAAAAATGAGAGTTAAAATATGAATGTCAAAGTGGTCGATTGAAATTTGTAGGGACACCAAAAATTATCGATGCTATGTGCAACATGATATCTGAAAATGTCAGATTTACATTCAAAGACATTGCTAGAACACTAAACATTTCATTGTCATAATATTTTAGGGCTCCAAGCATGTTTTATTAGTTTCCATTTTTTTCAAGAGGTCCAGTAAAACATGTACATACACTCAAAGGAAGGACCATCAATGGTAACTTTTATGTTCGAATTTCACTGAGGAAAGGTAAACAGTTTCCTGCAAAGGAAGTCCAAATACCAGATCCAGTGTAATTTTCTTGCACCTGGTAACGCTGCTGCAAAAAAATCACAGGGAAATAAATGAAATTCGGAAGAAAAGAAAGTTTACAGAGCTTTGCCGTCCCCCATATTCGCTAGATCTCAGCCAGTGTGAGATTTTATTCCAAAAATGCATGAAAACAATCAAAGAAAGATTTTAAAATATATGATATGACATGGAAAGTGATATTCATCAGTGTCTTTGGGGCATCCCTAAAGATGGGTATGCTGGGGTTTTCTGGTCATGGATACAAAGACCTGAGACATGAATAACAGGGAATGCTTTGAGGGATTGAAAATGTTTAGAATATGTATAATGCTAGATGACCTATTGCATAATAATAGGAACAATAGCTTTTTCTTTGATTCCAGATTTTATAATTGGTCTTCCTTTTTGGCTATAAAAAGTGCACCCAAATTTCGTCATCCATCACGCAAATTTAACAAATCTACTTTGTTAAAATATTTGTTTTAAAAAAGACCGTTGGCACATTTAATGGGTATATTCCTCTTAGGAAATTTTTAGAAAATGAGGCACCTATCTGAAAGAAATATTATTATATTCATTTCCGTTGTCAGAATTCTATAAAATATTATGAAGATGAAATGTTTAGTGTTCTAGCAATGTCTTTGGATGTAAATCTGACATTTTCAGATATCATGTTGCACATAGCATCGAAAATTTTTGGTGTCCCTACAAATTTCAATCGACCACTTTGACATTTATATTTTAACTCTCATTTTTTACTTTTGAATTTCTGAATAATCTGAAAACTATACAGCGTTAAAAACTATTCTTTCCACATATGAAAATCATATCTTTGATACGAGTTCTTCGGCGATTTATGTAAAGAAGCACAGTTTTTACATACGCTCTCATTTTCATCTCCTTGGCAAATATCATTTTAAACATTCTTCAGCTCAGTGTAGTGACCAATGCATACTTTAAAAGTGAATTTCTCTGCAAGGACAATTGGAAAAATCATGGGCTTTTTGTGATTAGGAGTTCTTTAATAGGACGTTTCAACTATGAAAAAATAAAATGAAATAGATCTACATTTACTATGATATACTGTTTGTTGCATTATTTATTGAACGACCCTCGTATATGTATAAATATTGAAAATTTAGCTTAAATATGTTATCCGAAAAGAAATTATTTTAGTACCTTTTTACTGGCATCTTTTAGTTCATATCATAAATGATAAAATTTGACTTTGATTGGTTTAAATTTTTATTAAAAAATTAGTTGATTATTTTTATTAAAATTCTGTTGAACAGAGGAATCACCAACATCACAATAATGTCTACGGAGGCTTCCTCCGCTGTTATAATTGGTGCACCGAGGCATGCTAACAACTCTTACGGACCAGGGGCAATGGTGATTCAAGTGCAGCTAAAAGAACCTTTGGGTGGACAACGGAAAATATGTTTTGAAGCTGCAGATGTGTTAGTAAAAATTCATGTATACGTCAACCACGAGAAGTTTTTTTTTTCAAATACAACTGGGACAGTTCAAAAGAATCATTAATATCTTTGACTTTTATTTCGCTTTTTTGTGAAGGGGGTATTTTTCTGAAACGTTCATATTATAAATTATTTTTGTGTCATTGACAGGAAAATGAACTCTCAAATCGACGGAATATAAATAATTATAATTTATCTTCAAAGGATAGGAATCAGATTTTTTTCTTTGCAGGAAATCGAAGATTGTTAAATGTCTTGTGGCGAATGTTCTGAAAAAAGGTATGATGTATCATCTTTGAACAATTAAAAAAAGGATTAGATTGCTCTGAAAGGAAACTGATCTCAAGATTGATTGGTCGTATCATGATTGAAAATCTTTACCGCCAGGACTTGTTCCATTAATTATGATAGCATTGCACAAATGACCGAGTTTGTCTCCATAAAGATAATTCAACTTTAAAGACATGTTTAATTTAAAATCGTAAGTATATGCATGCTGACATGATTAGTATATTTCTAATTACAGATCCCTGCGCAACTAAACCTTGTCAACACTCTGGTCAATGCATAGCTTCGGAAGATGGCGAAAACTTTAATTGCCGGTGTATCAATGGATTTTCAGGGAAAACGTGTGAAACAAGTGTGTTGTAATTTTTACCTAATCAGAGTATTTCATACACACGAGGTGTGTGTGAGTGTGTGTGTGGGTGTGTGAGAGAGAGAGAGAGTATAAATGTTAATTAAGAAGATAATGTTCAGGATAGATCATCCTAAACAGAGATATTTTTTCTATTTACTATTGTCAAAATCAGTGATTACCCAAAAGGGGATTGTGAAACATCTTATATCTATGTGTGAATATTGAATATTATACATAAATACTTTACCTACAATAGAGCTAAAAGCAACAGCTTATCGAAATTGTTGATACAGAGAAATAGAAAGATAGTTATTGGGTGGAATTTGTGTTAGGATCCAGTTTAATACTTTACGTTTCACATATATATTCACTGCAGATGCACAAGTAAAGGAAAAATAACAATTAAACTAGATGAATGAAATTTAATTATATATACCGTACAAAAACCATTTTTTAAATTGGCTACATCCGATACCTCTGATGAATTTCTTGTATGTTTCTAAAGAAAATTGTTATTGTGGATCATAAGTGGATCTCACTACTCCTGAAGATTATATGTACATCTTCAAGCACAGTTTGACTGTAGTTTTTATGTTTATTAATATTTTCTTTCATTCTGGCTTAAGCGAGCTTTTTTTTCGAAGTTTAGCTGGAGTCCGTCTGTCAGTCCTATCTTTGGTTGATTGTAAACTTTTCACCTTTTTCTTAATACTCTTGAACCTCTTTCAACCAAACCTGGTTCAAAGCTTCTCTTTTTGAATTTAAAAAAAAATCCTTCGTTAAAACACCAAGATATCTATTAGTTAAAAATATCTTAGCATTCCCATATAGTAGAGATTCAAATATATCCAAATCATCCCCATTTGCGACTAGAATGGGACCACAATAAGGTATCAATTTTTAACAAAAGTGTTGATAAATAATTTTTCAATAAGAGCAGCAAGGATATAATTTGTATACGGAATGTGGAGCCTCCTTATAAGGCATAAGAAAAAGATTGAAAAATATCTACTCCTTTAGAATAACAGGATCACATTTGCATCAATCTTCATGAATCCTCTGACTGTGACAAAGATCATGGTTCAGGGGACAAATAAGCAAAGTGGCCATTGGGTCTCTTGTTGAAAATAATATTTTAATTTCAAAAATGATATACATGTATTTTGATAATAGCATATGTAATGTTGCTTTAACTATTCCTATTTTTTAACTTCAGATCCAAAGGTATCATGTGTCGGTGTCTGTAAAAATGGTGGTCATTGCATACAAAATGGTCCTAGAATATTCTGTTTGTGTATGAACACCGGTTACACGGGCTTTTACTGTGATAATAGTAAGCTTTTAAGATTGATCTTTTCTTAAATCGACAAAACAAAGGTGGTCTATAAGATTGTTCAATCAAAACATTAACATAGGGACTTCAAATACTACTCCCTAATATTATATTTGAATCAGCAAGAGAGTAGCCTGTTGCCAATATTAAAATATTGCTTTTCCATTGTGAATGAAGATGGTTTTTTCTTGAAATCATGATATCGTTCTGCATTTCAGAGCTTGACAAATGTGACCCGAATCCCTGTGGTGATCATGGGATTTGTATTAACAGTGACACCGGATTTTGTAATTGTACAGAAGGATACTCAGGACCATCTTGCACAAGTTAGATTTTCCTAAATCAAAGCAAAATATTTAAATTAAGTATTTTTCGTTAAAACTATTTTATAGTCGTTGTCACTCATACGGTTTTTGTTCGTACTGGAGATTGAAGAATGAGCATCTACTGTTTACTGGTCACATCCGCCGTGTACCCATTGTCATGATCGGATAAACGTAGAAATATGTATACATAATGGCCTAGCAATGTGAATAAAATTCGTCAGTCAACCGTCTACCTAACGACAGATTGTATTTGCAAACGAGATCATTGTATCAAAGATAGAATTTGCGAAACAAGATTGCTTATACCCTTGTGTAATCAACTTGTGTAAAAAAGAAAGTATAACCTTTAATTTATCTGGAGGAATAGTTGCAATGTTGACATCTCATTTGATCTATTTTTAATATTAGCCACGCCATGACATCATTGACGAAACATCAAATGTAAGTATGTTTTCTATCCGCGGACGAATACTGGTATGTAGATTATTGTAAGTTTGACGCACGTTCGTTCGACATTTATATCGAAATTAACTGATCCCTTGCCGAACGATCGCCAATAGCAAATGAAATCCAAGGGTCTTTCTGATGAGACCTAAATACGTATTATAGTAGGCGATGAAAGTATAGAACTCTCGTTGCACTGGCGTAAGTTGGACGCATAGGACGTACTTTGGCTCATTGCATGTATTTAAAACTAGTGACACCTTTACATGAATGAAAATTCTCCTTAACTTCATTTTGAATCTTCTTGTCTGTCTGTTGGGGAATAATATCATGCTGCCAATCATTACATCATGTCCGAAGATTCACTCAAGAACATAATTGAAAACTCATCAATATGCGTTTCATTGCCAGTGATGAATGCAATTCAGGTTATAATAGTTGTGCTTACACATATAGATAAAAAAAAAGCAATGATGAACTTCTTGTATACTTAGTAATACCTTAATTTTTTTCAAGTATTTTATTCAATATGACCTATCAAATACATTATTCACAGTTATCAGTTATCATGGTAAATAGAAAAGGGGAATTGAAATAAGAATTCAATTGAATATGTTTATTTAAACAGGAAAACATTTATCTTGAAAACACCTAATATGTAATTTAATACTATTTTCAGTTGCAAAAGCATGTGATGCAAATAATACCTGCAACGGTAATAAATTAATAGTGTTGATTTCACTCCAATTACAAACTCGATAGCATTTAAATCGAGATTTTTGCAATTATAAAATTCTTTTAATTTTCTAGGATGTTCATCTAGTACATGTCACAATAATGGGATATGTTTGAAGAAATCAGGACTCCAGCAGTGTGTCTGTCCTGTAGGATTTTCCGGAGACAAATGTCAAAACACCACGACAGAAAGTTTGGTAAATATTTTCCTTAAAAAAACTTCACTTAAGTTTATTATTGTTTAGTTTTGTAACATTAAAAGTAATGGTTCTTTTTTCTTTTTGAATAATCTGTACATTTATTTAAAAAACTCTTCAAAAAAAAAAATAAAGCCAATATTAAAAGAGTCAACAATAGTCAAACATTTAATAATTTGTAAGAAAAAACCCAGATCAAATTCTGATTTAGAAGTGTTATCTAAATAAGATAAGATGTTCAGTACATAAACCATCAGTTTAGGGATGTTTATGGCAATATGCTTTCATCCTATTTTCCCCCAATAGTTTAAACATTTTTTTTTTCTGTTTAATTATTTATTCTATACTAATTTCAGCTAAACTTTGTACCTCCTACAGCGGAGAGAGGTAGTGTAATATCGTGCAATATTTACCTTGATCCTACTTCGAAACATTGTGAATTCCCTGTTTATTTGCAAGCCAGGTAATTTCTCTCTCTCTCTCTCTCTCTGTGTGTGTGTGTGTGTGATATAAGTTATTACGAAGTTCATTATCTGTTACGTTGCAGTGCTCTTCCGTCTATTGAAAGTATTGTTAATAATGACGAACTACATGTCCTTCCTATGAGGGCTGAAAATGCTACCATAGAAGGTCTACCGAATGTCTACATGAGTCGTGTGAAAATATCACGGACAGATGCAGTTGGTTATAAAAGTGGCATGAAATACGAATTTTGTCTGCATGCAAGGTATTTTTTTTTACTCAGGAGTAAACACAGCTTTTTATTATTGCAATAAAATGATTTCTAATTCATATAAACATGTATTATTATTATATTATTTTATATATTTTACAGAGAATTGTTTCTAGCATCTAAAAATTATATCAGTTATTACTTCGTGTTATATATGACGTCATGATTATCGCATAATTTCCAAAATGAAGTATGTTTATGAGAAAATGGAGTAATTTTAGTCAATGAAATAAGAAAATAACGAAGAAGAATCTAGTTCTAAAGTCTGTTGAACAATTCATTTTGGGAGCAAAGCAAACACGGACCTCTAAAAACATCAATTTGAGTGAGAAACGAGAGAGGTAAAGATCTGCTTAGAGGCATCTTTTGTTTAAAAAGGATATAACAAAAAAATATGAAAATAGAAACTGGGCAGCTTTGAGTTTTATGAATTCTAATTAAAAAAAAGTACAAGTTTTGTACTTTTTTGTCCTTAATGTGTGAATTTTCAGGAAATACTGAAGTTTGTAACATCACTGAGAACTCTAGTCAAATATCTTTCTTGTTACTATTTGTCATTTCCTCTGTAGCTGGTGTGCAGTTGTGCGCATTTTAAATTGAATGTTAGAATTTTCCTACTCTGGAGCATATATAAATATATATATACCATTAATGCAATTGACCTATTGTTTTATTTTTTTAAAGCATAACATCTGAAAAAACTGATCGCTGCTTTTTTGTGGATTTTGAATCTTTACGTAAGTACTCCTTCGAGAAGTAAACAATATACTCTAATAGTTAGTTTAAAGACTTTTAACACGTCATTGTGTCATGGTGGTGTACTTTTCCATTCGATGCCACTCATACTTTAAATAACACAGGAAATCTTTGGCAGCCAGAATTCCGCGAACATACTATAACATCTAAGGGTGGGGCTTAGCTGTACATTAACTACCAATATACTGTCCAATAACTTCCAAACTATGAAATTAAGAAACTCAATATTTTTTTGTAAACTTTGTTGAATTTTTGTAAAAACAAGGTATCATGACAAATTGAACAAAATTTAAACATTCCGCCCTCCCCCCAATTTTAAGCTAAAACTTTATCATAAAAACGTGAAACACCTTTTACAAATTCAATATATTTAATCATTAATAAATGAATTTTAATCATTAATTAAAAAAAAAATAACACGGCTTAAAACATAAACTTTAAAAATACATATGATTTCGAATTTACTTGAAATCTGACAATATTGAAATGATTTCCTTAAGAGCATCTGATTTCTGTGTTTTCTTGAGTTGCATGCGAACGAATTTGGAATAATTCGCACTACATTTCATAATTTCGACACCTGCGGCTGAATCATTTGACTCGGATATCCTTAGGACAGGTTTGTCTGCAGAGACGGTACTTTAAGAACAAGGTACTTAATAAAAGTGCGGGCGGAATCAGGACTGTGAAAACTTTTACCATAATCTAGTCAGTGTCTGTCTGTGTACGTTGTTAAGATGGCTGGGTGGTTGTGGCCATTTTTAGACTATATTGATCTCCTTTAGAAGAAGAGCTCCATATAAAGATATACAAAAATGATCAAATTAAAAACTAAAATGTATGAATTTTTTCTTTGCCAAATGATAGTTGACAGCTTAAGATATCAAATCTAAAAAAATAAGTTATACCTGATGGTTAATTTTTTGACCCCCCAGCCTCCTTAAGGTGTGTGAAATACTCATACCTCTAAATTCATCCAACACAATCTCAGACTCGTTTTACGTCGCATCATTTAAAGTGGAGATTTTTCAATGCAACCATCTTGTTCATACTTTCTGCATTGCGAGACTCGACCGCACCGCCTCTCTCTTACAAACCAAACAAAAATACTGTAAATATAACTTCATATGGAAAACACTACATTTCTTTATTGCAGTCTATTCTTTACCGAAGAGGGAAAATGTAACATTTAGACAGGATGTTTTTATTCTCATTATGACTCTCAATAAGACTATGAAACATTAATGGTATAATTGAATTTTTCTTAGAGACAATAAATATATACATGTACTTAACTAATATTACGAGGGTTAACGCTGTCCCTGAAAAACGCGAACTTTTTAAATATTTCATAAACAAACCGACCAAAATTATTCATTTTTTGCACAATGTTGGGAAATGATATTTTCATCATTTGACAAAATACTATAAGGTAGTAATGTCATATGCATTTAGAAACAACATTTAAAAGGCGTTAAATGTCGGTGGTCGGAGCACGGCAATATTTTGACTTTCAAAAATAGCATTTCGGAAATGTTTTTTCTATTACCATGCTATACAAAAGTATAATGTGACAAAATTTACATCCATAGAAACTTTATGATCTAGAGTACTCATGTGTAAAAATTATTATTCTGACATCATAAATAACAAAAATATGACGTTTTATGCGCAACACTATTAGGCAGATATTATCAAAAGCGGCGACGTCAGGCGATAATGCTGCGCATCAAATTATCACTCAGTGCTGTATTGAGCGGGGTATGACTCCTGTTCCTACGCGAAAAGAAATGGAAACGATGGAACGACACGCATATGTATCGAACACTGGTTTATACTAACTAAAAGAGGTACAAAGGCTGGTTATCCGATGAAAGATTTATTTGGTAGATCAGCAAATATGACATACTGAAAAGTCTAAAGCTGGACGTCATACGTGAAGACCGCCGTTAACTATGCGAGCAGTTAGATTTATGATCAGAGTTTGGGAAATTGTCTATTAAAGGAATTCCTTGATTTTTTTTTCTTAACTGTAGTATATGTATATATGTGTGAAATGGATAATTCGATATTAACTAAAAGAAATCAAATGCAGTATCAAATTAGTGCTTCGAACGAATGTTCAAAAACGCACCTGACCAAATTCACAAATGCCAAAAGCTTCTGTATGTTTGACGCCGTCGGTGTTGCCCGCCGACAGCTATTTTAAATGATTCGTTTATCAGAAAGTATGATATTATTTATAGAGATATTTTATTGAAATTTCTGTGAATATTGTTAAAACAAATTGATTATGAATATACGTATGATGCATGCATATTTTTAACTTTATACTATTAGTAAATAAAAATTAAAAAAATATTAAAATTGTTCGCGTTTTTCTGGGATAAGCCTCGTAAATAGTTTATAATTAAGAATCTTTTGGTCATTTGCAGATACTCCGATGCAGATCAGAAGAGGTGTAAGTTAGAAGACATTAATTTTTTCAGAGGCATAGTGTAATAATCTTAAAGGCTAAATATTATATAATGTCATTTGTAATGATAAAGATAACTTTATTCAAGTAATCTTTGAAGCCTTGAGCATAAAACCTCTTGATTATTCACACACAAAAATTTTTCATTCTTGATATATCAATAATTTTCTGGTTTTAAGGCGGACCACTGTTTTACTAATAAAGAATTTGGGATATAATCAGAGATATTTCTACTATGCATTTGATGGCTGACTTTCTTGTTTAATAAATCAAATAACTTGCTATGTGCTGTTAAAGTCATAAAGTTTGAAAAATCGAATCTCTCACAAATGATAAAACGATCAATTTTAATTATGTTTGTATAGTGTTGTTGAAAGATTTTTAGTTTAGCTTAAGTATGCACAGTAATTTATTATTTTAATTAAATCGCTTAGTTGCTGTTATATTTGCAAAAAGGTCACTTTTTTCAACTCCAAAGTAGAGAAATCGATTGACTATTCAAATGTAGCCTTCAAACCATTTAAAAACTTTGTGCTGAATATTTTCAATGTCTCTGTTTAACATATACTTTGAAATTAGCCATGGACATTTATTTGGCCAACCCCTGAAAAAGAGACAACATTTAAGTGCCAAGCCGGAACGTATTGTCACGTCATTGTTTATACGCAGATCAAAACTCCTGCAGTGACAAAATGGTAACTGTGATTAAATCTACATTTTTCCGTGATAAAAATTTAAATGCAATGTATATTAGGTAATAATTTCTAGAGGAAAGATGTTGAACGGTTTAAATCAAAGCAGTACTAATAAAATTTCCACTCTGAAAGATGCAAAGTCAAAAATAAAATACCTATTTTGTTGAATGCTAAATATATGTCATAATTTGTAAAATTGTAATCATTAGCGAACAGGTTCTTGTGACAAGTGCACTTGGCGCAAAAACTTTTCCAACAAAACCAGTGGATGACAAATGCCTGACCGATGTTGTCTTTACGGATAACAATTTCGAAGGGAAACACCGAGTCTGTCTTAAATCATGGTATGTTTGTGATGTCCATTGTTAAACAGTATTATATTGTATACATTATCATTCTTATCTACAGGTGAAACCCTTTATGGATGTAGTGATAGTATCATTGTGTTAATAAGGAAAGGATTGTAGAATACTATACTAGGTTTAACTGATCAGTTGTTTCAAATGAAACCCAAACTACACAAACAAGGATGGATATAATTCATATTCTTTCAGGAAGGACGGTGAATCAAGATGTTATTTCATAAACGTGGTGAAAAATATGACAGGTATCTACTACAATATTAACGATTCAACCAATTTTCAATTCAAAAATATGTATCATATAGAATTTCCATGAAAAATTTTCTATTTCTTGTTATATTTAAATTCACTATTCAATCTATCAGCTGAACAGAAATGTTGCATCAGAAAAGATATCAAAAATGTGTACTGGGTTAAGTTTACTGCGTTTACAACCGTTTTCAAACAATATGGCTTTTACTTACTTTCAGACACTTGCGACTCCAACCCTTGCCTTAACGGAGGTCTGTGTATTCAAAGGACCGGTGCTGCCTACTCTTGCATTTGTACAGCTAACTATAAGGGTGCAAACTGTCAAAAGGGTAAATGTATTTTATAATTCGCTGACAGATCATTACATTATCTTTTCTTATGTTTTTACAGAATTCCTCTTTGCTAACAATTCGGAATATATCTATGAATGAGATAATATATTTTATTATAAGAGAAACTATAAATTTCTTGAAAAAAGATTTTTTTATCTTATATAAATATAGATTTTTTTCTCTTATAGTTCACCAAAACATTGCTCAGATTTTAACCTTACTTGAGCATTTGCTCTTGTAATTTTTAAAATACTTTCAATTAAAACATTTCATTAAAGAATGCAAATAACGCATTGACTTAATTTCAAATTCTTACCTTATTTTGAAGGACCTTGTTCACCGTCCGACAAGCAGTGTAAAAATGAAGCTTATTGCTATACAACAGGAACTGAGAAATTTTGTTATTGCAAAACAGGATACAGTGGAGCAAACTGCACTCATGGTATGAATTACTGAAGCCATAAACGAACAGGAAATTTATATGTGATATTGTTCAATTAAGTTTTAGCCATTCTATGAGTATCAATTATATTTTATCTTTTTGGTTTGCCCATTTGCGTTTGTCCATCTGTAAGTTCATAGATAATACTGCAGTGATACTCTTTTTAATACTAGATGGTATTACATGTTTTAACATTTTTAGATGTTTGTAGTAGTTATATTTAAGATATTAAATCATGAATATGTGTGTTGTAAATATATATTTTAAAAAAGAATTATCTAATCATTGGGTATTCATTTGTTTAAGTTTCTACTAAATAATAATTTTGTAAAAATAAGAATTAGAACCACACTAGCAAATTGGTAAATTTAACAAAACATATTTATCAACAAACTTTAATGGGTTAAAAGAATCTTTGAAATGTGTTTTACTTTCATATGAAGAATCTTCTGAAAATGTTACTGATCCACAACATGATGGGGTGAGTGATTTAAATTTTGTGTTGAGAATAAATATCGAATGACTCCTGAAATATCTCAAAATGTATGGAAACATTTAATTTGAAAACCCGAAAAGCATTTGTAGAAATTATGCCAATAGGGTTGGACTTTTTATCTACCAAGGTTTTTTTTTTCAATAATAAGCAATTTATTCTTCACATTTTAGGGTAAATTCACAGACTCTGTGTACACAACAAATGTGACTTGCTTCGTATCTAAGCCATGTCGCATACCACATATAATTACAGGCGACATAAATATAAAGTAAGTTATTACATTGAATAATTTATTCACCTAATATATTATGAGCTCAAGCAAAACTGATTCAACATATAAACAGAAAAAAAGTTTGACTACGATTGTCCGTCTACCTGATCAATACATAGGGCTCACGGTGGGTGTGACAGGTCAAGAGGGGATGCTCACTCCACCTATGGAATTTCCAGGGGTCCTTGTTTTATGCCCTGATCACAAATTTGTATTGTTTTTTTAGAATTTTATGAGATTGATCACTGTTCGTTGTGTTCACCTTGTGATGACAAAAAATAATTTCGTTCAATATTTAAGACCCACACTAAGACCGGGATATGTATCTCCTGATGTAACAATAGAGGGAATAAATGTTGCCAAACATTCAAACAGCACCCAGACCTATCATTCCACCACAATTATAAAGGCTGAAAACACTGGACAAAAGAAAGTATGCATCCAGATTTACAATGAAAAAAGGTATTTTATTTTGTTTAACATTATCGAGTACCTTTGTACACTTTTAAGTTCCTAGCATGTGATTTTTAAATAGAAAAAAAAAATTCTGAACTAGCGAAGATAACTTTTATTTTGATGCTTATTTTTCAGACTAACATCTGACGAGGTGTGTTTTAATGTTACAGTTACCCAAGGTAATTCATAACCAACGTGAATATATTTTGCCTTTTTTCCACGTTTATTACATCATGATGACAAATCACGTTAAATTCGAACAATGTTTTTTTAAGTATCATTAGTACATTAAATTATTTATTTATTTATTTTCTTGCAGGATCTGAGTATCAAGATAAGGTAAAGTGTATGTCGATGTAGAAATATACACCATAGGTAATAAAGTTCTTTTTTTTTTTTTTTTGGATACCAGTTTTCATGGAATATTGTCATTTTATATTGCTATTAAAATTGGGTGAATAAATTTCAGATTCTTCACTTTTTGTAATCAAAGCTATCTTATCTGGGTACATTCATGTTTATTGTGTTTCCACCAGATGTTTGCTCATTTTATATCACCGACACTTCCGGACGAAACGGAAATGCAATGTAAAATTGGAAGACCCTGTCATCTAACATTATGGACCAAAAACGTATTTGGAAATAATTCATGGTACATGAATTTTTTTTTAAAAAAATTCAATTTGAATCTTCTGTAAAAGTAGTATGAACATTTTTTATCACATTTTCTCGCCTTGAAAAGAAGCATGAACAGAGTGTTTAATTCATTATACATTATTTCATTTCTTTTATAATGTGACACCCATAATGAAACAATCTATTTTTAAAATGAGGAATTCAAAGGAAGTCAAGTAGAGAGAAGACATCCATAAACAAATGTGTCATGATCATATTATAGTATTACAAACATAAACTTGGTTTCACAGGAAAATTCCTCACTTTCCTTTGCAGTCCATTTGTACAACCCGATAAAACACCGGAAGATGGCGTTTATATTTTTCAACAGACAGACAAAACTTCCCCATGTATGAATGACGTAACCATTAAATTGCCGAATGTTGGAAAAACGAAATTATGTTTCCAAGCTTTGGGTGCCGACTTTTACCATCCGGAAAGGTATATAATTTGAGCATGCACAGTGTTCTGTGTATATTAAAAGAGTATGTTTTAAAAAAAATCACATTTTTTTTTCAAGAAGTACGATAATAAATTAAATCTTATCTTTTTCAAAGATAGCAAAGTTTTTTAGTTAAAAACTGCTGAGACAAAGCCTTGAATATCCACATGAGCCTACATTTCTCGTATTTGGAGGCAGGGGTCACTGGATTGAATACGTTAAATTATCTATAAATAAGGGTTGAACTATTGATATTAGTAATTATATTTTTTTTAAAAATGAACAAAAATTCTAATAATCAAAGTAATTGAAAAAAAGTTAGTCCTAAGAGTATCAGATTTTTTGGACAAGATTTATCCCAACATAACAATATATATGCCTTGAAAATGTACAGCATCGTTTATTTTTACATTAATTCCATACACTTTTTGAAAATTCTGTTTAAATTTCCAACAAAATACTTTGCGTTTCGTCATTCGATAAAGCGTGGCAACAAAATGTTTTCCCAGTTTCTAAGGAACTTTCTAAAGATCGATCATTTTTATTCTTAATATTACATCAGCTACAAAATAACAGTATTTTTGAAGGGACGTTCGGAATTGTTTAGGATGCAGTAATGCAATTATCATTAGAAGAACTATGAAATGCGTGGATCAATTTTTAAAATCAATATTTTAACTCCGTTTTAGTTAATCATTCTCTTTTTTTATAGTGATAGAAAAGGGAATTAAAATAAATGCGATAATTAATAAAAATGTCAAAAATTGAAATTTTTGCATGAACATGTATAAAATATATTATTTGATATAAAAAACAATCAAGGTTACATTAAAAGTATATGACACATTTCTCCAGGTCTGAAAAAATAACGATAATGTGTCTATGTACTAGTATCTAATATAAGTTGACTCTTTTAGCATTTTTATGCCGCCGTCTGTCTGTCTGTTTGTCTGTCTGTCCGCAAAAACTTTAACATTGCTCAAATCTTTTGATTGGTTAGAGCTATGGCTTTCATATTTCACATGTGTAATCCTTGCGACAAGATCTTTCTTTGGGTATCATCATATTTGACCTTTTGACCTTGACCTTGGAGTTTGACCCAGTTTTCAAAATTTTACCCAACTTTAACCTTGACCATAACTTTTGGTGCTAGGGCTTTCATACTTCACTTGTATAATCCTTTTGACAAGACCTTCCTTTGTAGACCAGCAACTTTGACCCTTTGACCTTGACCTAGGAGTTTGACCTACTTTTGAAAAACTTCAACCTTGGCCAAAACTTTTGAACGGTTGGAGCTAGGGTTTTCATACTTCACATATTTAATCCTTGTGGCAAGACCTTTCTTTGAATACCAACAACTTTGACCTTTTGACCTTGACCTACGAGTTTGACCTACTTTTGAAAAACTTTTATCTTGGCCATAAATTTTGAACGGTTGGTGGTAGGGCTTTCATATTTCACATATGTAATCCTTGTAACAAAACCTTTCTTTTTATACCACCAACTTTGACCCTTTGACCTTGACCTTGGAGTTTGACCTGCTTTGGGAAGACTTTAAGCTTGGCCATAAGTTTCGAACTGTTGGTGCTAAGGCTTTCATTGTTCACATGTGTAATCCTTATGACAAGACCTTCCTTTAGATATCAACAATTATAGCCCATTGACTTTGATCTTGGAATTGGATCTACTTTTGGAAAACTTTAACCATGGCCATTACTTTTGAACAGTTGATGCTAGGGCTTTCATTCTTCACATGTGTAATCCTTGTGACAAGACCTTCCTTTAGGTACCAACAATTATAGCCCTTTGACCTTGGAATTTGATCTACTTTTGAAAAACTTTAACCTTGGCCATGTCTTTTGAACTGTTGGTGTTAGGGCTTTCATATTTCACATGTGTATATCTTGTGAGAAGGCCTTTCCTTGGGCACCATTAATTTTGACCATTTGACCTTGATATTTGACTTACTTTTGAAAAACTTTAACATTTTCCATACCTTTTCAATGGTTGCTGCTAAGGCTTTCATATTTCACAGGTATATTCCTCGGGACAAGACCTTACTAACATATTTGATTTGCATTTGAGAAAGTTTAATCTTCGCTATAAGTTGCCATACGGGGGCATCGGTGTTTCACAAACACATCATGTTTTTCCCTTATTATATCATTGACATTTATCTTCCTAAATTTTTCTGAATTTAATTCACAATCTTTGCTCAAGAATTAACTTTGTTTATTGCATTAATGAAATAGAACTGGCTATGGTAAAAGAACCTATATTAGAATGCCAATATGGATATTAGTGATATTGAGGACATCATAAAAAATACAAATGTGACTGACTAGAAAATTGGCTGAAAAGATTTTACAAACCTTTTAAAAACGCCAAAAACTTGTTAGCTATATACGTTATAAACAGGTGCTCATCCAACTAACATAGCAAACATCGACTAAGAGATCCATAATTTCAAAATTTTACATTACTTTTCCCACCGTAACACTCCAATTCGTTTCTTGGTAGAAGCAACGTTTGATTTAATCAATTTTAGTACAATTACTGGAGAAAAATAACTCAATGTAAAATCTTAATCATTGTTAAGATTTTGAATACTTTTTCAGAATTTTGAAGAGTAATACGAAATAAAGAATATTTTTTTGAAGAAAGCTTTCCTTTTCTCGCTTTCCTTTCAGTGAAAATGGGGAGACTCGATGCTATAACCTTGAAATAGTGGCAGCCTTAACAGGTTTGTATACATTCACTAATATAATCCGTATTCCAGGATTGAAGTTCTACTGTATGTCTTATTCTACGATATGTTATCCGCAGTTAAAAGTTCATGTAGCAATGTGAAATGTATGAATGGCGGTTTCTGTGACAGTAACACATTAACTGGAGAATGTAGATGCGTTCTGGGATTCTCAGGACGACATTGTGAAATGCGTACGTATCAAATACTTGATCAGTACATTTTTAGATAACCATTGAAATTTATCAAAGCACCAGAATCGGATTTCTATCATATCTATATAGATACACCTTCAATTTACAGCAAGAGGGGCATCCTTGATTTCTACCACACGGAATACTGTAAGTACATGTTTTTGATAAAATGCAATCAATAAAAAATTGATCTGCTCTATTAATTTAATGTCAGATGAATCAACAAGAATTCAAAAAAAAAAAAAAACAAATGTACAGTCTTTAACATATATCTTTATGTTCCTTTGTTATTGTTACAAGTCTGAAGCCAAGTCAACTGAGCTAGTTTTTTTTATGGATAGAAGAAAATAACAACAGTATTGAAAGTGAAAAAATGTCATTTATTTAAGTAAATGACGCAAAACAAAAATACACATAGTAAAGGGGTGAGAAGAGACTAGAAAAAAACTTCTAAGAACACAAAAATCTTTGGCATCATATTATGCAAACTGACCCCCTTTAAAATAAACATACCATAAAGCAGGCACTGATTTAACATATATCTTAGCGTTGCCTTACATGTTTTTAAATGTGTATATTTCAGATGATGACAGACATGGCAATTCCAGAAAACATAATCTGTCATTTGGGAGAACACTGTGATATACCGTTCTCTGTTACAACAAATAGTACAACAAGGTACAGATTTAGAAAAAAAATGTGTGAATTTAAACAGGCACCATGACATTTATTTCTATGTATAATATTTCTTGTTTTAATTTCAGACCTAGTACTAAACTTGGCCACTATGATGAAGGATTGACAGTATCTATGTCTGTTCTACAGAACGATCAGCATACAACATTGAATACTTTTATTGGTCATGTGACTGTAACTCCAGATTTGATTGGTTCTCACATTGTCTGCATTCAAACATCAACAGATAAAATGTAATTAATATATATCTATTTAACCATTTTTGAATAACGAAGATATATGAAAAATGAATAAAAAGTATTAAAGAAGATATATTACTACATACTCTAATAATTTAAGCAATAACCTTTTTTTGGATGTTCACATTTCCTAGAAGTATGTTTCTGAACATTGTAGATTGACAACAGACGAGCGCTGTGTAAATGTACTTACTCCAAATAATGGTGGGGAAAATCTTTATATGTAGAATTTGTATTTTATTTATGTGTTTTCTGTAACATGTTTAATATAAGATTTATCTTAAAACCTATTTTAAACATTTCTTTATTTGTTCAATTAAGTAAAAATGGATGAATAATATCCTTATTTAGTTCATGAGTATTTTGAACATGATAATGTATGATTTTACGAATCAACACTATATTTACATTTCAGCTTAGAATATAAAATGTAAATATTTCCCAAAGTTAAAAAAAAGTTTCAACTTTAATGTTTTTCTTTGTTGGGATATTTTTATTCATTAAAAGGAACTTAAAGTTTACATAAAAAAAACTTTTTCGTCATTGATATCAAAGTATTCACAACCTATCAACTCTAACAAATCTCAAAAGAAATAAGTAAAATGCCATTGTAATGTGCCTATATATTGAAGAATAAAGTCTTGTAGTTAAGAAATAAAGAACGACGGTTAAAATAAAAAAAATATAGTTATCTTATATTTTAGTGAGATTCATTTGATTTAGATTTCATAGCATTCGCTAAATAATTTGCTACTTTCTTCTAGAAACAATGACAACTGTAAATAAAAATCTGGTAAGTGAATTTTTGTTCAATAAAAAAAAATGTCTTTGACGTGCATTCACTCAGTAAATTCCATTTGAAATCTTTATTTGTTATAGATGATTATGGATTATGTATAAATAACCATTGCAGCCTCATTATGAGTCACCAACATTACCAAACAACACTCAGGTTATCTGTCCTCCTGCTAAAACCTGTCATCTCATACTTAACATATCACCTGGTCTTCACGAAAACTGGTTTGTACTGTTAGTTTTTATAGATAAAGATAATGTTTTCAAAAATCTTTAAAAAAAAAATGTTCATGTTTTTGTAACTTTCAAAGCAGAATCTCTATTGAAGACGTAAAGTTGGTCTTTGGAGTGAATAGATTTTGGTATAAAGTTTTATGATAAAGGAATATATATATATATATATATATATATATATATATATATATATATATATATATATATATATATATATATATATATTATATATAAATTCGATATTATTCTTCTGCAATAGCCCAGATATAAAGAGAATGATGGGCAATGCGGACTTTACACATATCTTCCATTCGAACACGAACAACAAAGTGATCGGCAACTGTACTGCAGATGTCGCCATAACTCCGTTAACAAACCATAACAGCAGTGATCTGTATTGTTTCGAAGTTTCGTTTCCGAGGTAATTTTTTTTATGAATCCTTATGATAAAATAAACAGAATCCTTACTATTGTTTATTGCAAATAAATATTTAGAATTGAGATTTACATATTCCAATTTTAAATTAAGAATTTGAAGAAATGTAATATTAATTTTATTTACTTGTAGTGTTCCAGGAGAGAAAAGGTGTTTCAACGTCACGTATAAAGTTCCTGGTAATGATGACTTGTTTTTATCAATTTCGGTTGTAAGCTTGATTTGAACAGATTTTATCGTTAATTTTTAACTTTTTGCTAACTTTTTGTAACTGATCGATGTAATGTCAGTTTTTGCACAAAATTGATACTAGTGCATAATAATTAGTTTAAACATTCAATGTAAAATCAATTAAAACCAATCAATGTGTTTTAAAATGAACATATCCTGTATAAAATAAATTGTTTAAAATATTTTTCCAAATACATGTATATCACAGCTCCATCAACTTGCGTTGGACAAAAGTGTGAAAAAGGAGGCTTTTGTGATTCTACGAAAAATATCACTACCTGCAAATGTCCAATAACCTCCTCAGGGATAGACTGTGGGTCACGTAAGTTCTACCTATATCAAATGTCACATAAGGAGCAGACTTTTTATAACTAAAGATCAAATGATATTGTAAAATATCTTTTACCATCCACCGTGTGTCTAAGTTTAATTGATATTTAAAGTCCCATAACATTTTAAGATGCAAGTCATGTAAATTCTAAAATCCATTACCTGTTAAGGGACAGATTGTGCCTCAAGAAATTTCTTTTTATGTGAAATGTCCCTAGCTTCATTTGGTATGCGTCATTGTAGTTCTAATGAAATCTTAAGTATCCCATAACATCATAAGGGACGTCTGTGGGTCACATTAGTTTAGTGAATTTAAATGTCTTTACTTCGTTATATTCAATTTTTTTATTTTCATTATTTTTTTTGTGTAAGTGCTGATATATTTTGCAATTCTATATTTTTTAAGTTTTCTTTCATAAGATCAGAAAATAATTACTAGTAAGATTCATTTTATTTTTTTTAAAGACATTAAATTATCTTTGATTTAATATGAAACAGCTGGGAGTCAGAGACCTGGAATATCAACGTCTTTATTTGGTACATTCGCTGTGCCAACATTTCTAACTTGTGAGCGACTGGTTACATGTGATCTTCCAGTTACTCTCAATGGAAACTTAAATGCAAGGTGACAAAATACATTTTTTATGAGACAAATGTATATAACTTTAAAACAAAGAATCGCAGGAATAAAAAAAAAAAGCAAATTATAATTTAAGGAGGCTCTAAACACTTGCAAATAATTGGGCTGGGGTTGGGTGGGTGGACTTTGAAAAAATTAGATCATATAAACAGTACATTTTTTGAGTTTGTCTAGTTCACTTTCAACATAGTGTACCCACCATATTTCACATAAAAAATTGTTGATAGACGAAGTACTAGTGAACAGAAATCACTGTTCTTTACTTACATTGGGAAAATACGTACAAATAGTGTATTTCATCTCCTTATCGTGGAGAAATATAATGTTAGGAATGCATTAATCTATAACAATGGTATTATCGCAGAACTTGTATGCAAGGATGACACAACAAATTAAAGGTTTAAAGTTTAATAATGGCAAAATTTTGGCCGCGGTGGAATTAATAGTATGTACATTAAATGCTAAGTCAAACAACATACAACTGCAAGGAGATGCCAGTTAGCAAGAGCAAGCCCCAAGCACACAATATATTTACATTTTATGAGATGTTAATGACAAATTACATCAACAATCAACGTTGGATCAACATTTCAACATTATCAACAACTTCATTGTATCATCAACATCAACATCAAATTGTCAACATTTCAATGACTTTCAGTTTGTCTTTCATCAACATCAAAATCAACAATTGTATTTTCCAACAACAACATGTTTACAACCAATTATGAAGGGATGCCAACAGCACCGGGTTGATTCCCATGTGTGTCAGCATCCCCCACGATATGCAATGCTACAGTTAAGTTGTTTTTTTATTTCCAACATTGAACTTGAGTGGTTCTTCCGCGGCACACGCAGTATAGTACATCCACTCCTGGGCTTTCCACTGCGACAATAGAGGTAGTTGTGTTGTTGACCAAATGGGAATTCACCAGTGATACAAAACATAAGATACCTGGCAGTAAAACATTTCACAAATCAGATTTAAACAAAACATATGCAGAATGGGTAGGGTGGGAGGGATTTCTTGATGTTTTCCTACTCCTCAGCTTCGCTTCATCATGATGTAAATGGACGATAACTCCTCCAGAAAACGAACGGTTGCAATATCGCAATGAAATGTTTTATAATAACTGCATCTGCGATAACGGCGCATATCCGGCAGACTGCGCTGGGATATGCGGAATTATTCACTGTAGATTCCCTTTTACTTTATCGTACATCAATCTATCTGCATAAAACTACGTTTCAGTTAGCAGTGTCTAGAGCTTCCTCAATAATATAACGCAGTGCTATTATGCCTTTTGCCTTTTTCTATGATAAATAATATTCCAGATTTAAAGTGATTGGTTCCTACTGAACTGATCACTCGTTATGCTTTTATTTATACTTCTTTATCAATTTTTTCAGGGACATTCATTTTGGTTTTGTGTCGAATGAACTCTCGATGAGAATCCTGACTATACTGGAACCTTTGCAGTTAAAACCTGGTGTCCGAATATTGAATATAGATTTATTAGGAAAAGAAAAAGGAATGTTCACTGCATGCCTCCAGTCTACGAGGTAAGATCGCTTGATTTCTGTGACCTTTTTGAATTCCCGTAGCTCAGACATGGATAATTAGGATTGGCGATTCAATTTAAATAAAATGTATAGTAAACATCATATAACATTCGTCGTTATAATGATCATTATGTTAATGATCTTTTGACTTTTAACATGTTTAGACGGAGCAAAGTGATGGAACACTGTGTTACAATCCAGGTTGTGGAAAAAGGTGAGTATTTTAGTGATATTTATTGAAATATTATGTTTTCTTTTTCGAAATCATAATACGTCAGTTGAATGGTAAACCTTTTTTTTTATATGTATTCAGGTTCCAACGGCACCATTGGAAGTATTGATAAGGTATCTAGAAATATTAAATGTTTCAAGTTTTTAAATATTAATATTTTAAGGTTTAACTATTGGTGAACAGTTTTCAAATGAATTCAATGTAGGTATGATAAATGGGTTTGGAATGCTTTTTTTGTTTGCAGAGCAGACCTCATTTTGAAAATACTCTTCCTTCAAACACTGAGCTACACTGCAATCCAACAAAAGAATGTCATCTTCTTCTGAAGCATAAAGCAAAGTCTGGAAAATGGTAAGGGCGACTTGTCATATTGTACGTACCTCTGTAGAAGTTACAGGAGGTTTTGATAACTTCTTTTCAGTTTTTCTTTCAGCTTAAACTGAATTTTAGTTTTTCATTTGATAACTCAATAAATGTTGCTGATTTTGACATCATAACGATGATAGTCTTTTCTTTAAGCAATAGCAATATGCACATGTATAGATATTAGTACAGTTTAAATTCATTCAACTTACACAATGTTGTTCTGATTTAAAGGCAATGATAAGAATTATTTTGAAAAAATATTTTGCAGAGAATGATGATTATAATAATAGAGAATAACGGTATCATTAAGTACAACTGTCAATTTTAATGTCGGATTAATGTGTTTGCCCTTATCGTTGTAAATATGGAATTGCAACCATTTTTAACAAATTAGATAAATGAAGTAATTAAGTGACTACTGAAGGCTTATTTTTCTGTTTTAAATATTAGTTTATTGTTTTAGTATCAATGTGTTTGGTAAGGAAATACCAGGAATTACTCATATTATGAATGCAGTGTCACCCGATCCAAATGGTACCTGCCAAACGGACGTATTAGTATATTCCAAGACAAACAGAACAGAGACGTTGTGTCTAAGCATTTCGGATGAGAGGTGAACTTTCTTTAACAACATTTACGATTTTTACCGTAACTGACTTATATATACTTATGCATGACTTATATACATGATTCATGACTCCATGAAAAAAAAGATTTAAAATGTCATTAAGGACTTTGATAATTTGATTAAATATTTTAAATTCTTTTATTTTATTTTTGTTGAAAGTTTGAACTTTTCGTTTATTCCAGTTTAAGAGTTTAGGTAACCATTGCTATTTTGATTTCAGCACTGTCGGAGAAACACGTTGCTTTAAGTTCGCTATAAATAAAAAGACAATTGGTAAGCAGATTTTTTTATATCAATTAAGGAATGAAATTTCAAAACAGTTTTCATAAATTAACTGAGATAATTTTGTGCCCTTGTTGTAGAATCATCATGCACAAATGTCACGTGTCTAAACTCTGGCTACTGCATCGGAGATCTGCGCGGGAACTTTACTTGTGTTTGTCCCGGTGGCCATACTGGAAGATTCTGTTCATTGGGTTTGCTTCTTTAATAAATTTTATGCTTGATATTATATATCAGAGTGTTTTTTTAATTGATGAAAATAAATATGTTTTTCTCTTGTAGACGGAGGCATTATACCAACTAATCATACTCAATATTCACCACCTGTATGTACTATTTCTTTTTTATTGATCTCAGCGTTAATGAAAGATGATTAACTTCAATTCATTTTTGCCTTCCTTCCTAATCTTTATATTAAACATCTCTTCACTGCTTGATCTTAGAAAGTTTAAAAATATTTCATCATGACCCAAAATCTGAACATAATATGTCCATTTTTTTCGGAAGAATTGTTGAATTTATTGGTATATCATATTCCGAAATTTCTCCCAATCCATTGTAAAAGCCCTGCAAAATTCCTAATTATTTCAAAGCAAGTTTTATTGCATGAAGTCAATGTGGACTTGTAACTTGTAAATTATATTTATTACACTCCAGGGACCCGATATTACTCCAAAGTTTGTGGATACAGCCATACCAGAGGTTCTACCTTGCAAAATTAATACAGAATGTGGAATCAACCTTCTTGTGAAGGCAGACCCATATGCAAGGTACACCTTTGATGTCCGATAAATTCTATAAAAATTATTGAGGTCGATAATTTTGTATTTGCATGTCTTGATGAAATATGGCTGAATTTTTGCTGTCTAGGCCTAAAAGATAATGATGCGACAAAAATATGCCATTGCTTAGTTACTTATACAGGTGCATTATTTTACTAAATACTTTAGTATATACTTGTAGGCCCGACCTACAGACTGATTCGCCCATCATAAAGGTGCCTATAGAAACTGTTGAAGTTCCCTCATCAAATGGAACTTATATAACTGGTATAAAATTTCAAAGCAACAAAACCGGAATACAGACGGTGTGTGTTAATACAGTTTTGAAAAGGTGTGTTTTTCATTTTTTGATTAAATTCAAATATTATGTTTTTAAAGGAAAATGAAGAGTTTTGCAGGTCCTTTTCCCTGTTCTCTGTCTCTGTTTTCTGTTTCTGTTTTCTGTTCTTCTGTAATTATAAAACAATGCTTGTTTTCTTCAGAAATAAAGCCGATGAAATATGCTTCAAAGTGAATGTAACAGATTCCACCTACATACCACCTACTATAGAGAATGGAAAAACTCCTCATTTTGTGAGTGAATGAACTATTTGTGTTCTTTCTTTAAAAAAATGTATATTGATATTCATAAGTACTAGTATATAGAGAATTCTTTAGTAAAGTTGAGGTTTCCTTGTACGTACAAAACTATTTTTAAACATGTTATTGAAACATTAGTTAAGTACAAAAATGATAAAAATAATTTGTAATATTTAATTTTTTAAAAATAATATCCTTGCTTTTGAAGTTTTCAATGATTTCATTTTTAACCTATGACTTTAAGGTATTATTTCATATGAGGCTAGGTTCTTTTCTCTTTTTTTTTTTTTTTCTTTTTTTTGCCTTTACCTTTCCCAAATTCAAAATCTCAACTTGAGAGAAGTCAATTAATACAACACAGGTAAATTTTCGAAAAGACAGAAAATTTTACACATCCAATCCCATCAATCTTGAAAACAAAATAATATTAATTTGTTTAACGTAAACTTCATTGCTTGGAACAGAATATGACAGAACCAACAATCCCAGATGGATCGTCAGTAAACTGTGAGGAAGATTCTACATGTCATTTAATCTTACGTTTGGATAATGACAACAATGGCAACTGGTAACGCTTGTCACAATTTTTTTGTATTTTTATTTATTTATTTACTTCTTGTCAACATTGAATTAGTCATTATTTTTTTGTATAAATGTTTATTATCAATTTTATAGTTTACATGCAAAAGTAACACCAATAATTCCCAATGCTCGGATGGTTAAAGCATATCTAACCAGCAATACGTGTGTGGCAGACGCTGTTATAGTAACTCACAAAGGGGACAAGAATAAAACAGTTTGCTTTGAAATTGATGGCATGGCTGCGAGGTAAGTAAATAAAATAGTTTTTTGGCAATATTTTTGCAAACGTTTTACATAAAATATTTTATAGTTGTTTTATGTTTTCTGTAGTCATGAGAGAGAAAAAAGATGCGTGATTGTCAATACAGTTGAACATATACAAGGTATTTTTTGAAGTAAAAATTCCCTAGCTTATCAGATCTCTACAATTTAACGCTGCGAACAACAAATATAATATATTTTTGTAATAACAGGTATTTATAAAAATATATTCATGCTTGAAATATTGAAATACGATTTTAAAAACAAATATTTTGTCCTTGAAGGGTCTCCATGTAATGAACTTTCGTGTAATAGGAATGGCTACTGTGAAACTGACATCTCCACCCAGTACACTTGTTTATGTAAACTAGGATTTGAAGGAAAAGACTGTGAAAATAAAGGTAAAACAATATGAAAAAAAGACAAATTGAAAGTTTGATTAAGTCTTACAAGTGGGATTATTTATCCTAATTCTTATATTATCCATTTTATTTGTAGTCAAGCCTTTGCCTATTCCAAGAAAGACAAATGATTCAACGATTGTAAGTATACATGTATTGCAGTTCCCTTTGTTGACATACTTTGCCAATTAACTAAACATCTTTTTACCCAGAGTAGAATTTATTTTCACTGACATTTTTTGACAAAATATATTGTCATCTTAAAGAATAAGAAAAATGAGACAGTGTGTATTAAAAGAATGGGAAAGCTATTCTGAACAAAAGTTTTCACCGGTGTTATTAAAGTTGAACATAATGTTTAAGATAAATTTTCTTATACCTTTCCCAACACAATATAATTATTTACCTCTTTGACTTTCTTAGCCGATACCAGTATTTGTTGATTCGGTATTGCCAAAACAAATACATTGCAACTTGATGGAAGACTGTTTAATTACAATACCTGTTCTTGGATCCCAAATGAATCAGTAAGAAAACTGCGATTAAAAATGTTAAGTTTAATAATTGTTAAGTTGAATAATTTGTCCCATTAAAAAAAGTTCTGATTTTAATTTAGGCTGACTTAATTTTAGTGAATTGAATCAAGAACAGCTTGGTGCTTTGATTTCTGGAACATCACGCCTAGAATTACTTTGACACAAATACATTTTTGAAAATAAGAGTAATGTATTGGGAAAATGAGAAATATTTCTATAAATTACAAATTAAACAGTGCATGTGTATTTCTTCTGTTTAGAAGTTCTCTATCATTTGGACACTTTGAGAATGGAGTTATTCCAGGACTAATCACAATGGAGAATATTACGGATCCCATTAATCAGACTCTAGCACATTTTCATATTAAAGCTACAGAGCAAGGGACAAAATTTGTCTGTGTTCATTCTAGGAATCTTAATACGTACGTTCTAACAAATATTTTCCTGGCTTTTTAAAAATGTGACATGGATATTTCTGTATATATACAAAAATATTTTTAAGATGTTAGAATCAAATTTGAATGTATTTGTAAGATCAGTTATATTTGTGTACGGTAACCCTTTTTTTACTTGAGCTTATATATTTTTTTTTTTGGCGAATTATCAGTCATTTTTATTATTATTATTATTATTTTTTCATTTTTATCTCATCAGAAATACGGATGAAATTTGCCTGAAAGTATTGGTGACACAGGTGACAGGTAGACAACTTAACCATTTATTGTATTATAAAATTTTCGAGAAATATTTGGCAAATTGTGTCTTATCTACTTTGCCCAATATTATAAATTAAACTTTTTAGCGCTTATGACGACAACCAGTACCCCGACAGTGAGTATCTTTAATCTTGTAATATATATTATGGCTGTAAATTTACATCTTCTAAGATAAGTAAAGTGAAATGCATTTGTAATCTTATTCTAATAATAAATTAACATAACATTCTATAATTTGTTTAATCTTTCTTTCCAAAAGAAGACCCCAAAAATTGTTGAGCCCTCTTTGTCTTCTGGAACAGTTGTACAATGTGAATTTGGAGGAAGTTGTCATTTTCATCTTGTAACACAGCCTGCACCCTCCTCCAGTTACTGGTATAATAAATTCTAAAATAATTCAGCTTATGGTTTCGTATTATCAGATATACATTAGGTATCCCGACTCATCATTATACACACTGTCCAGATTATTCCTCAGTATCTACATGTTCCTAATCTATAGAAATAAACAAGGAATATTATTCATTAAAGTTTTTAAAAATTAGTTGGTAAGCTTTTATAGCCTTCTTTAAGTATTTATATAAAAATTAAAAACCTTTTCTTGGGCATCATTTTAGCCCTGATATAAAAAATATGGCTTCATCGTCAATTACCAAGGTCCATTCGTTTACGTCGGATCGTCCGTCGAGCTCTAGTAATACGTGCCATGTTGATGTGTCTTTCAAACCAGAGGTACCAGGGAACCATACATTATGTGTACAAGCACAGGACAACAGGTTAGTCAACAGAGAACAAAATGTCAGATCTCATTCATCAATCAATCTCGATTATTTATCATTTTTTTAGTATTTTTTTTCTTTTATAATTGAATGAAAAAGCATTTAAAATTGATTAGAGTTGTAAAGTGCACCTCAGTTGGTTTCTGGATTTGATGCTTATTGGATTATATGATTTTTTAATGTTTGGACAGTAAAGGGGATCAGCGGTGCTTTGTGGTAAATGTTGTAACAAACATCAATAAAACTTATGGTAAGAAAATGAAATGGTCAAAATAAATATTAATGGAGAAAAACGTAAAAGCTTAGAATACAAGTTTGATAAGTACCGAACAAATCTTTTATCCAAAAAGTGCGTGTAAAACAAAGTGTTTTAAATTAATTCAATAAATCGAATATATAAAATCCTTTTATGTAAGAATGTTAAAGTTATTCAGAATTTAATGAATACTTACGGTTTTCACTGCATATTTCAAATTTGGATTTTTTTAAATCTTATCCATGATTTATGTTGTGATTGTCATTCACTGAAGGAGGACCATGTCAGATCCACCACTGTTACAATAAAGGACGATGTGAAGCAGATCCACTTACTTCCGATGCTACATGTATTTGTCCAATAGGATTCTCTGATATAAACTGTCAAACTAGTAAGTTTCATCACCCTGTATTAAAGTATGCCACAAATGGCCTATGTCAAAATTCTTTACCGTTTTATTACTTGGTAACATTCCGTGTTCTATTTATTTTTATAAGTGAAAACCATATTGCAAAGAATGGATTAAACTATATGTACGGTTTTAATACGTTGCAGAAACATTTTTCACACCAGTTACATGTATCTGAACACTCATCATTTCCTGTCCTTTCCCACAGCTTGTCGTTTGATTTGTTTAGATCTCTATTACTCTTTCTCAAATGTTTTTTTATTTATTTTTAGGCAGTATTTCTCCAACTCTATCAACAATGAATACTTCTCTTGTACGTATCTCTAAGCGTAGATAAAATTTATATACAAATGTTAATCAATAAAATCATTAAGCATAAATTACAATTAGTTGAACAGAATTCTCGGGGAAAAAAGTCCACTTCTGTATGAAATTGATATATTTGCCGTTGATATCCCATTATTTTGTCGGACTGCATTAGTAAGTGTTCTGTTTTAAACGTTTAAGTTGAAAGAATTGCACATTTTCACAATACAAGTAAGCTGTCTCAGTTTTTTTCTCTATATTCTGTAAATGAATGTAAGGATATAATTTTGTCCCTTTATTAACCAATTTGTCAGATAATAAGTGTGTCAGCATGAATATCCCACCTTCTTTTCAAGCTCAAATTGCTCGACAGTGTGATTTAAGATATCAAAGAGATGTTTCCTTTATTTATTTTACCAGTCAACCATTACCAAACATACATTTACGGACACAGCTGTACCAAATGTTATAACGTGCCCCATCAACACCGACTGTGGTATACCACTGATAATAACTGGCCCACCTGGTAATATGTACGTTTCAATTTTATCATTTCTTAGATTCTTCAGGATCAATGTTTTAGATTAAATCATATTAAGAAATATATTTGTTGTAATCTTTAAAAACTGCTTATGATGTCGATAATTGTGTTTTGTAGTCCTCATGTAAATTCCAACAGTCCTCTTGTTGACAAGCCTGTACAAACACATACATATCCTGGGCCTTCTAACACTACGTACGAAACAAACATCATGGTTCACGGTACTAAAGAGGGAATTCACGATATTTGTGCACATGTTGGGTATGTCATTTCTCTACATTGGACAAAATTGGTTTCTGATTAACGTGCAAGAAGTGAATATGCGCGCTCTAATTGTGTACTCTTTCTCTTAACATTTTATAGTGCAAATGGGAATGAAATTTGCTTCAAAGTAAATATCACTTCTTCAAAGAATACATCCTCAGGAAAAGAGAAGGTATGATATTCAGGTTTATGTTTCGTACTGACATATCCAAATAATCCATTACATACACACACACACACACACACACACACACACCCCAACTCCAACCCCCTCCCCACACACACACACTCTCTCTCTCTCTCCACGCACACACGCACAGTTATTGCGTCAAGAAGGTAAACGCAGTGGTTTAAAGATTTTAATTTTTAGAATATCCAAGAACCCACTATTCCGGACCTGTCTTCCGTGAAGTGTTTGGAGAACACAGTTTGTCACTTACTTGTCCATTCGTCAAAGTATAGCAATGGTAGTTGGTAAGTAAAAACTTATTTAAATATAAAATGTTTATGTCCACTTTATTTCAAAAAACATGCTTTCAAAAACTCTTGAACAAGTTTTCTGATCTTAACATTTTATTTCCATTTCATAACCTTGTCTTTTAGCATACTTCCCAAATTGTCACCAGCAACAAGCGCAACGAACGTTTTAAAGACAGATCTGACGACATTTAATCAATCACTGTGTGTTACTGATGTTGCAACTCTAGTTAAGCCTGGAGAGACAAAAACTATCTGTGTAGAAACTACCAGGTTTTTATATGTTTAAATTTTGATGATTTTCATGATATAGAAAGCGTTAAAATTCGCTTTAAGTTGATAGGTATAATAATTTTTTTTTTCAGCAAGTCAGATAAAAGATGTATAACGGTGAATGCAGTGAAAAACTTAACAAGTATATATGTTTTTCATGTCAAATTAACAAATGATATAAAATGGTTCGATTTTTAAATTCATTCTTCATTATCAGTTTTAAGCATTCGTTTTCCGTTATTCGTTTTGGTTGTAATACACACTGTAAATTGTTTCTGTTGATTATGATTTAGACTCGTCACCTTGCAGTCCAAATCCTTGTCAAGGAAGCGGATTTTGCCTAACCTCTGATTATGTCAATCACACCTGTGTCTGTAAGACTGGTCTAGGAGGACGGAATTGTGAAAAGAAATGTAAATCTTAATTTTACTAATATATTACGAGAAAACGAAGACAAAAAAAATCCTGTTTAGGAGAATCATGAAATTATCCATGTATTTGTAATTTTTTGAAACGTTGTAATAAAAGACAGGTCATAATTTTGAATTTTTGAAATAATTACCACAATATTTACATTCTATTCCGTCGCAAGAATCAGTTTAAATATGTTGTCCCTTTTCAGTAAAACCGAAACCGATACCTAGACAAAATACAAATTCAACAAATGTAAGTAATATACTAGTGTGTGCTCATATTAGTGTGTACATATCGACTATATAATCTTATTGATGTCATTTTTCTTTTGCATGAAATATTATGTAAATCATGTAAGGTTTGCTTATTTTGTAGACTTCTCTTATATTTGTGGATACAATGTTGCCAAAGGAGATAGTCTGCTATACAGCACAAGACTGTCCAATTATCTTACCTGTTGATGGACAACCTTTATATGAGTATGAAGTTTATTGGTTGAAGTTATGATTTTTCATTTATTTATTATAATATTTTGCTTTGAATAATTCTTCTGTTTTGAAGTATGCATATAAAGTTTTAAACATCTGTTTTACTACCAGTATGTACGATAAAATGGTACCTATGTTTATTTTAAAGGAGTTCGTTTCTCTTTGGGCATTTGGATAAAGGAATAAGCCCTAGAGGTATTGATATAGATAACATAACAAGTCCTCTTAATCAAACCATCGCGCAATTCCATTTAATACCATCAGAATCTGGGACTAAACATGTGTGTGTTCAGACCAGGAACTTGAACATGTAAGTTTATTTATGAATATTCATTTTACAGTGCTTAACTGAATTGTTTTATAACAATTTGAAATAACGATATCAAAAAATATTTAATAGATAAATCTTTTTGTCAAATACAAAATAAATATCCCTTGAACAAAATGAGTTTTGTTCCCAATGAGGTCAATCATTTTTTATTCTTACATAGAAATACAGATGAAGTTTGCATTAAAGTCGTAATTCTTGCGAATCACACTACAACCACCCCTTTAACAGTGAGTACTTTAGGAACTTATAAATATGATAAAACCAATACAATATACTATATGTTAAATAAGTGGTATTGATTTCACTTGATAATTTTTGTTCAATCTAGATGAAACCAAAAATAATCTCTCCTTCGATGCCCAATGGTACTGTACTTCAATGCGAGTATGGAAAGGAAAGTTGTCATATACCTCTTTACACAGCACCAACTAATGGGTCGAGTAAATGGTACTTATAATTGAATAAATTCAGTACTTCAATAGCTAATGCTACTGTGGTACATTTTCTCCTTGTTATTGTCAAAGGATGATTTTTTTCACCATTATTTTTTTCAGACAATTTTAGTTTAAAGGGTTTACAATTAACTTTCAATTATAGAAGTGTTTTTTAAAGATTTCTCTTATTGTATTTCCTACTTTGTTTTGTCTTTTGATTGAAGTAATTTCTGCTACATTGATGACTGTCACTAAATCTTCTCGGTATACAATCGTTTTGGAACAGGCTGAATCAGAAAAGAAATTTATTTTTCTGATCCGTAGATATACATATTTTATTCATATCTTATAAAATTTATACTACATATAAATATTTCATATTCATATTTTATATATTATTATTGTTGTCTGTTGAAGTCCTGAAATTGAAAATATGGCTTCTTCCTCAACACCCAATGTCCATGCGTTTTCTTCGGATAATAATCTGGTGTCTGCTTGTCACGTGGATTTGTCAGTAAAACCGGAAGTGCCAGGAAATCACACATTATGTGTCAGAGCCAAAGATAAGAAGTACAAATTGAATTTCTTTTTTTTTTTTTGGAAATGTGCATTTCTGGATCATTATAGTGATGTAAAGCTTTCTTTTATTGCGAAGGAGATAATATGAATGTTAATAATTATTTGCAGTAATGGTGGAGATGTTAGATGTTACACTATTCAAGTTGTCACTAGCAATAACAAGACACTTGGTAAGCATTTTTGTTAATATTTTGCAGTATCCAGATGTTTAAAGGTTAATTTTCTGCATAAAATATATTTATTTTTTTCCCATTAGGTGGCCCTTGCCAGCAGAAACAGTGTCACAATGGTGGAAGATGTGAAGCTGACCCTGTTGCGTTACTCGCTCAATGTATATGCCCTGTCGAAATTTTGGATCCAAATTGCCTGACAAGTAACAACATAATTCATTTAAACTTGTTAACCATCACCCGCGTATCAAAGTGGTTAGAATAGATAAGTAAGAAAATGATATATAGAGCATATATTCGGTAGATATGGCCACTGAACTGTAAGGGAATTTTTTCAAACCAACACCTCCTGCGTCATGAGACTTCAGTTTATATTAGGTACTTATGGCCATTGATCATAAACAATGAGGGATCTTTTCCAACCCAGCATCCCTGTGACATGGGACATTTCAGTTTATAATATAAACTGAGGTCCCATGTCGCAGGAAGTGCTAACTTGAAAAAGATCCCTCGCTGCTCAATGGTCATAAGTGCCGAGTAGAGGTCTAAATTTGTAGCCTTCTATCAGAAACTCTGGACGTTCCAGTATGAGTGAAAATTACTCGATTGATTGTTTTTGTTTAACGCCGAATTGGCAATTTTTCAGCCATATTTCGGCGGTAAAAAAGAGCAATTATACAAAAGAATTATGTTGCAAAATCTCTTCTTCATCTCCATTTGTTATATTCTAATGTTGCCGGTATTTTTTTTTTTTTTTGCATATTCAGTATTATATAAATGCAATTTATGCTGCTTGTAGACACCTCTATAGTGCCAAAAGTTCCTGGAACAAGCATGGTAAGATGAATGATAATAAAGTTAAAATGTAATGATCATATCTTGCAAAATTTTGTAAAAATCTATGAGTAAATCATAATGGTCTTATTATGGAATTCTATAGCTATACAAAATCAAATCGTGTTTGAATCTGTATTGCATAGCGTGAATCCTATAATCATCAAACCTTGTCTATTGAGATGTAAAAGTATTTTTGGGTATTGTTGCTCCTCAAGTTACTTAAAATGTCTCTTTACCTGGGAGCGTATCATATGTCCTTGCACTGCAACTTTAACTAGTTCTAATTGTAACGGAGACCGTAACAGATGTTCCCCAAACGCTCCCCTACTCCCTTTGGGGTCCCATTCCCTATATGCTTCCACAAATTAAGCAAAGTCTTTGTATTATAGACTTTAACAACTTATTTGCAAAAGAATTTTGAAGAAATAACAACGCAAATACAGCACAGTGAGCATAAGCAGATCAGATTTAAGTACACATGCAAGCGCATGATTTCGAAAACTACCATACACATGTACAAAATCTGATAGAATGCCATAATAAAAAGCTCCATTTTAAATTATAGCATAATTTATAGCTTATGCTTATGTCTTAAATTCCAAAGAATTATATTGAATAGTAAGAGAGATACAACCTATAAAGTATTAGCCGATCAGATTTCAGCACACGTACATGTATGTCCTTGCATTCAATTTTGGTAGTAGCATAATGTAGGAACCCATTATACCTATTTATATTCTAAATTTCATTCTGTTTTGTTGAAAACTAAAGAAGTTAAAGCCATTTTAAGTTTCAGCCAATCAAATTGCAGAACACGTGCATGCGCGTGTTTTCAAGAATTTTTGTATAAAACATACTGTAAACCTTGTAATGTAAAGCTATATCAAATTTCAAAGGATTTTGTCAAAAAACAAGGAAGATACTGAGATTTTTGTTTCGACCAATCAGAGCGAAGCGCATGTGCATGTGCGTGAGTTCATGCTAATTTAACCATATCATCTTGTCTACACTACTAATATATATAATTTTGTTTTGAGTTTAAAAGCATTTCATAAAAAAATATATAATTTATAGCTATATTAAGTACCGTATAACGGGTATTTTCTGCCGTTGTCCAATTTTTGCGGAATTTTGCGGATAGGACAAATCCGCAAAAATTACAATCGCAAAATATTTTTCAATATTTATTCAGATATTTTATACATGCAATTATGATAAGTGGTGCGTATGTCTGACAGGGTTCTCATTGATGCAGGAACCTGCGTTCCGGACGCAGAAAAAATATCTGGAACGCAAGGTTTTTTTAAAAATTCGGGTGTCATCGAAATTCGATTTTAGATGTCGGGATTTGTTCAAAATATATTGAATCGAAATCTTCCTGTAAATAATATCAATTGAATAAGTATCTTTTCTTGTACGTACACTGTATTTCGCAATTATTAGTTCAGACGACTGACAGAGCGCCTCGATGCACATGGTACCTGTGATTCTTAACCGTCAACTTAAGAATACTAAATTATGCAACTGTTTGTTTAAGCTTAAAATACAAACACCAAATTAATTTTGATAGTAATTAACTATAAGTGTATTTTAGAATATGGCTTGGATGCATTTATTATCATTATCTATATATTTAAATATTTTAATAGATCGCATAAGACGTCTGTTAGAATAAAGATTTTTATTGTTGTTTGGGGGAACTGATACTGCTATAATTTATTTCAATTGGGACTCGACATATTTTCACAAATACTAATTAAAAGATAGTAGTCTAATTAAGCTTAATACCAGTTCTCATGCACCTTTGATCAATATGTCTTAATGAATTCATAAAACGTAAACATGGCAGGGTTCTGATAATTCATAAAGTTTAGTGATCATACCCCGTAAATAAATTTTTGCGGTATAATGCAACCGCAGAAATTATCAGTCATATCACTCATTGCACGCACACGCACGTGCATGCATGTGCGCACAAAATGACCTTCGTTCCACATATCTACCCAACATGCCTATTAACCCAAAAAAGGTTTCATCTCAATCGGATGAGCAGTTTTCGAGAACACTCACGGACAAAAAAGTACCGGAGACAGAAGAAATTTTGAAAAAAAAGAAAGTAAAAACAATATGTTCCCAAACTTCGTTTGGGGAACATAATTACTACTATAGTTTTGTTAATGAAATGAAATATGAAGACAACGAACAGTCATCAAGCTCAAAAGTCAATTGAAACAAAACAAATTGTGATCAGAGCAAACAGGAACCTCTTAAAACGTCATACGTGAGTTCAAATGCCATGGAAGAGTAAGCATCCCCTGTAGACCGCTGTGTCATTATCGGGTAAACGGAAATTCAGTGTGAAAATAATGACCTATCAATATGTATGACAAATGGCAGTCAATATTTGTTTTTATGTAAGCCTGTATTTGCTAGCTAGGTAATTGTATCGACGTAGAATTTGCGAAATGATGACTTTAAATGAAACCACATTAATGGAGGCATATCATTCGTGATACTTGAAATTATTTTTATGTTCCAAATATTACAGCCTACAATACCCACCCATACATTTACGGACACAGCTATTCCAGATGTCATACAATGTTCCATGAATACCGAGTGCGGCATACCATTGATAATCACTGGACCACCAGGAAATATGTATGTATCATTTTCATACCCCACGCAACAAGTTGCGTGAGGTATAATGTTTTTGACCCGTCGGTCAGTCAGTCAGTCAGTCAGTGTATCAGTCAGTAAGTCCGTCAGTCCTGTTTTTTGTCAGCGCAACTCCTCATAAACCGCTGCACAGAATTTTGTCAACTTTTGCAGATATTTAGCACACAATGTGTAGATGTGCATATTACCAGGAAATTCTGATTCCATTATTTTTTCTAGGAATTTTGGCACTTTTCAACTTAGATTTTTGGCCATATTTTCAATATAGAGATGAACAGTTTGTCAGCGCAACTCCTCTTAAACCGCTGCACAGAATTTGCTCACACTTTGCAGATATTTAGTACACAGTGTGTAGATGTGAATATTACCAGGAAATTCCGATTCCGTTATTTTTCTGGGAATTTCGGCACTTTTCAACATGGATTTTTGGCCATATCTTGAATATAGAAATGAACAGTTTGTCAGCGCAACTCCCCATAAACGCTGCACAGAATTTGGTCAGACTTTGCAGATATTTAGTACACAGTGTGTAGATGTGCATATTACCAGGAAATTCCGATTCCATTATTTTTGCCTTAAGAGTTTTGCCTATTATTGAAGAAACTTTCCAGGTAGGTAATAAGGAAATCCACTGGAATCAGATTTTGTAATGAAATTTTATGTGAAATGTTTTATGACCTTTAAAGACCCCTATTGATTCCGAGATCAAAATATTAATGATTTAAAACACACACACATACACACACACCCAATCTTGGATAGTTCTCAATCCCCCGCCCTTCAAATTGGTGCTTCGCCTTAAATAATTTCCTAAGTACAGTATATAAACAAATTCATATGACTATACATCATAATTTGTTTCCATCAATTATTTAAATGTGTAAATTGTCATGTGTTGGACATGGACTTGCACTCATTAACAAATATAAATCACTGAGGAATTTAAATAACAGTTTGTCAGCATAACTCCTGCACTGAATTTCCTGAAACTTTGTAGGTATTTCAGACATAATGTATAGATTTGTATATTACCAAGAAATTTTGATTCCATTATTTATCTAGAAACTTCAGCCCAATTAAATTTGTAACATACAAAGATTTGAATGTCCTTATCAGCCCAATTAAATTTGTAACATACAAAGATTTGAATATCCTTATATGCAAGAAGTTTTGATGTGATGATTTTTTGCAAGTAATGCCCCTTTTTGAATTATACTGTGTATTTAAAATGCACTGTGCCATTCATTACGTGTTACATTGTCGAGTTTTGGGGGTGCATGGGGTATGTGAGCTTGCTCACTTTTTCTTTCATTTGTTTTAAAAAATATTCTTAATGTACAATCTGGAAATTAATATTCATTTGTACGTTCATTTTAAAAGCTCATGAATCTTTGGTAGTTTTTAAGACCTAAAACCCTAGAAAAATGTTAATGAATTCTCGTTGGTAGAAAAGTGAAGAATCTTTTTTTTTCAATTTGGACATAATATTGTATGTTGTACTTTTTTGTAGTCCAGAGGTGAAAACTAACAGTCCACTTGTTCACAATCCGATACCCACAATTAACTATCCAGGGCATTCGAATACTACGTACCAAACAAATATAAAAGTATTGGGTACCAAGGAAGAACTGAAAAAAATATGTGTGCATATCGGGTATGTTAGAACTATTAAATTCAGAAGAGAATGAAGATATTAAATACTAGTATTTGTATACGTGTATCAATGCTTTAAATTTTTAAACACTTTTCATAGAGAAAAAGGCGATGAAATTTGCTTTAAAGTGAACATCACTTCAAAGAATACATTGTCAGCTAATACTACAAAGGTACGTATCAGACTGAGGGCTTATGCTATTTTTCCAGAAGGCAGTGTTTCTTTTCCTTTTTAACTACACCAATATCTGTTTTACTGAAGATCCCGACGAATATTTCTAAAGATAGATTATTGGAATATATCTTCAAAAATGGTACATGTATGTATAAACGTAGATGTCTTACAGAAACATAATTACATGTAAACTGATATATCGTTTGTAGAATATCCAAGAACCGACCATCCCCGACGAGTCTTCCGTCAAGTGCTTAGAAAATACAGTGTGTCATTTACTGATACATTCTGCAAAGTTTAGCAATGACAGTTGGTAAGTAAAGTTTTACCAATTTTACCAATCAACAAGTTAATGTGTGTGATCCTGATTAAAAGTAGAAGCTTTCTGAAATCTACTAGTATTGTAGTTATGTTTTGTTTTTGTAGCTAAGGCAATAGTGTTCTTTTTACAGTATTATTCCAATGCAGTCGCCAGTTACAACTGGAACTGTTGTTTTGAAAACAGCTGTGACAACGTTCAATCAGTCATTGTGTGTTACTGATGTGGCAACTCTGGTTAAGCCGGGAGAGAATAAAAAGATATGTGTAGAAACATTCAGGTTATTATGACTTTAATATTTTGAATTTTTGAACTTTAATTTTTATTACTTTAAACTATTTCATCAATAATTCATAAAATCGGCATAATAACATTTCTTTGAAATATGTGTGGATAACTTGCACCCTAATTTCTTGGCAGTTCTGATAGAAGATGCATTATGGTGAATGCGGTGAAAAACATATCAAGTTTGTATCATATATAAGATAAAGATATATAAATGAAATAAGTAAATTTGTATTGTTTTCTCAATGTATCTGGGTGACATTATTGATATAAATGAATTTTTTTTCCCTTAAAACAGTGATTTTTGTTTTGTACATTGTGTATACTAATTATTCTGTTATAGATAGTTCCCCTTGCACTCCAAATCCTTGTGAGGGGAAGGGATTTTGTATAACTTTTGATTACGTCAATCACACTTGTGTCTGCAAGACGGGTTTAGAAGGACAGAATTGTGAAAGGAAAGGTAAATAATATTTTGATTATATGGAAACATTCAAAGATTCTGAATACTTTTTATCGGGTTATTTGGCACTGGGGATATTTTGGCGAATTTCGTATCAAAAAGGAGTTTTAAATATTGGCTTTTTATATATTCCAAATTAATATTGAAATAAATTTTATTTATTGATATTACCCCATAAGATTCTTTAAAATTTATTATCAAGTCACCAAACACTAAATATTCAATCTACATGCATTCCGAAATACGTTGTGAAAAGTTTAGCCAGTAAAGGTTACTCATTTTGTTAGAAAACAGAGCAGTAGGCTTTAATAAGCCTCTGAATACATAGACTTATTATTGTGTGTCGATTTCAAACGTAATTAACACCAATTAAAATACCTATATATGAAAATAACCATATAGATTCACAGCATACTGACCACAAAAATATTTTTCGGCAGAAAGGAGACGGTGAATCTAAGGTAAACTAGATAACCCTCTATAAACTTGATGGAAATGTTAACGGTTTATTTTTTGAATATTTTTTTGATCTACCATAATTAAAAAAATACTTAAGCAGCACGCCAAAATCACCCTATGTAGGATAGGAAATTTAAAAGATATAAAAATACATGTTTTCACATTATTGTCTACTGTCTAAATTTCATTTTTAATAAAGTACAAGAATTTTTTCTTCTTGTATAGTAAAACCATTTTCTAGATTCCTTTAGTTTACATTTTCTTTTTATATTCAGTTAAGCCTTTGCCAATACCTAGACAAAATACAACTTTAACAAATGTAAGTAGATATGAAAGTTATTTACTTATCTCGATAACATGTCTCCCTAAAATATTAAATATTACCTGTAACTGTCCGTTATTTTTCAGACTGTTCCAATATTTGTGGATACAATGTTACCGAAGGAAATCGTATGTTATTTAGTGCAAGATTGTCCAATCATCCTACCAGTTGATGGACAACCACTGAATAGGTATGAAATACACTGATGCATAAAGTACAAGAATATTTTTTAAAAAATTAAACTTGTTCCAGTACTTTCAACATTAATATGAAGTTTTGTGCATATATTTTCAAAATATACGTTTTAAACATTATCTTTATTTATTTTGAAGGAGTTCGCTTCTGTTCGGACATATAGATAAAGGAATAACTCCCCAAAATATTGAATTAGAACATACAAGTCCCTTAAATCAAACCATCGCACAGTTCCACGTGCTACCATCAGAATCTGGGACCAAACATGTCTGTGTGCAGACCGGGAACTTGAATACGTGAATATATTTGCACATTCTTGTATTTTTATCACAAAGTATTTCTTAAGTACATGTATTTATACTTCTTGATGATGTCAAAAAATGATTATTGATAGAGAACGAACGGATAAATATCTAGTGAATAATCATTTTCGTTAATTAATTTTAATTTGTCTTTCACTAATGAACAATTTTCAATTGCCAATGAGTACATGACTAATTAATTACTCATGTACTCATTGGCAATTGAAAGTTGTTAATTAGTGAAAGAAACTTTTATCAAAAACTGAATTGCATGTCAATCAATGATAATTTTTTACAGGAATACGGATGAAGTTTGCATTAAAATAGTAATTCTTCCGAACGTGACCACAACTTCACCTCCTTCAACAGTGAGTAATCCGTAGGAAAAGGACGAAGTTCAACAGATATGAATCAATCCACTTAAGAATCCGTAAAGTCAAATATTGTTTTCTTTCTATCTAAGGTGCAGAGTCGCAGGCATTTCATTCGTAACTGACTTAGAACACATTGATAGATACAAAAATAATAGTAACAGAAAACTTTTTTTTTTTTTGTTTTTTTTTTTTTTTTAAATAATCCGTTTCATTTGTATGATTCGCCTCAAAATTTTCTTCCTCATGGCAAAATGAATATATTCTGTTATTAAATTTTCAAAAGTAAAATGTTATAAGGTATCTGAATAAAGGAGATATTTGTGCAAGTTTATTTTCACAGTGAAAAAATGATATTTTCAGTAGTAAAACTATGAAAATCGTGGCAGAAATCTTGATTTTCTTTCCCGTTACGCAGAATGTTAGAAAGAAAATACTCCCTGTAGATAGTAAGAGTAAATAAACCATCCTGACACGGACTGAAACTGCCAAAGTTTCTCCAAATTGTTATTAAAATCCATGTTAACTATTTTCAATCTCATAATCGCTTAGCTGTCAAGCTATGACGTTACAACCTACGACATTGCATTACGAAAAGACTTGGACAAACAAACACACACGAGCTAAATCATGATTCCCCTCAACTTTTTGATGAATGTGTCAATTTAGATAAAATAGAAAGCAACAGATAAAATTCAATTGATCATTTACTGGAACATCCTTACTGACTGATAATGTTACATGAATATCACGTTTTATGTTGCAGTTCAACTTTCCTGTTATCAAGAAAATACTGATAATACTTTATTTCTTGACGGTAAAGCTGGACAAAGTATTTAATAAGAAAAAAAGGGGGGAATAAATGATATGAAATCACAACTTATTATTGTGGAAACATAAAATAATCTCCTTAATAGATCATTTAAAAACAGCTGTTACACAATACATAGGCGTCGGAACCGGGGGGGGGGGGGGGGGGGGGGCTAGGGGGGAGGCTTTTTCAAAGATAGACAAAATATAGGCATTGAAAACTAGGGAATACCTTTTTCCGTTGGTTTAGCCCCCCCCCCCCTTTCAATTAGCCACCCCACTTTCAATTTGCTTCCGACGCCTATGCAATAAAACATGCTTATTTTGAAAGCTAGCTTTACATTGTGTAAATATACTTGTATTCCATCCTTTATGACCTTATCACCGGCGTCTTTGAAGGGTTTGATTTAAGAAATAAATTCCCTCATGGGAAGAAAAATTGGAGAATTTACCCTTCAGTCTCGATATTTCGTTGGAAAATAAAACACTAACCCGAAGGACTTTTTCTTTTTTTTCCTGGCTTTTTCTTGGAGTGTGTAGGGGGGGGGGGGGTAATCTGGGTAGGGGGATACTACTATATATAACAAAGACAGTTTTGAAATACATCAACAAGGTCCAATGCTATTCTGGGAATTAGGTTTGAAAGGGTAATTTGATTATTTCTGTGCGGGAAATCTCTCTATACAACACAGATACACACAGATACCTGTGTTCATTGAGCACCATAGATCAATTTATATATTTCATTAATTTTTTGTTGTTGAAAAGTCTATCTTCCACATTTTATTTAATCTCATATAGATCATTCCTGTATTGGCCGAATCTGAGGGTAATTTAGGAGTGTTTTTTTTCCTCCCTCGGTCAAGTTGTGTATAGGAATGTTGATTAGAAAACCATGAATATCAGTGTTAAATATCAAATTTCCTTATTGAATTATAGATGTCACCAAAAATAGCCTCACCTTCAATGCCAAATGGCACTGTTCTTCAATGCGAGTATGGAGAGAAAAGTTGTCACGTACCTCTCTACACAACACCAATACCAGGTTCAAACAAATGGTACGAATAATATAGCAATTATCATACTGTAGAAAATAAGTTCTGTCGCATACAAGTATGCTAATTACATGCTTAATTTCCATTATTTTCCACAATGCAATCTTCTTTTTACTTCTCAAGGTCTGCTTTTCAAGAATGACAACTCTATTAAGAAGTCATCTGGTAAAGAAAAGTCATTGGCATAATTTATATTGGTTTCTTTTGCAGCCCTGATGTTGAAAACACGGCTTCTTCTTCCATATCTAATACCTTTGCATTTTCATCTGAAAATAGTCAGGGATCATTACTGTGTCACGTGGATCTGTCAGTAAAACCGGAAATACCAGGAAATCATACCCTATGTGTCAGAGTCAAAAATAAAACGTACATGTTGAAAATAATTTGGAAACTGTATTTCTCTGAAATATTGAATGTTCTGTAATGTTTTAATTTGATTTTCTATTTCATACATTATATCTACTTTTTTAAATTTTATTTTGCGAATTCAGTGCAGATGGGGATATCAGATGCTACACAGTCCAGGTTGTCACCAGTAACAACAAGACCTTCGGTAGGTAATTCAAAAAAAGTTACTATGAAGATTTTATCGTTAAGGATCATTGCTTCAATATCTTAGCAATCTGAAGGCATGTTTTACGGTTAGGACATAATAATTTTTTTTAAATAAAATTTATTTACTTAGGTGGTCCTTGCCAGCAAAAACATTGTCATAATGGTGGAAGATGTGAAGCTGACCCTGTGTCTTTAACCTCTCAATGTATCTGTCCTGTCGGATATTCTGATACAAACTGCCTATCACAAAGTAAAAAAAATTAAAATAATTCAATACACGGTTTTGCAATTTTCATAAATCTTTTTATTTGCATGTTAGCTTTGTTTGAAGATTTTTAAGTGAAGACATTTTTTCTGTTTTTAGTTATCAGCATATCACCAACACTCCCTGGAGTAACGGTAGTAAGAGATTTAGACTTTAAATTCAGTGTTAAAAATTAGAGAGAAATCTGTTACTGGAAAATAGCTTCAAAAATTCAAGACTCTAATAAGATATATAATCATGTGTATTGGATTTTCATGTTTATGAATAATTTTATTGTGATGCACTGGTTACTTGAATAAGAAATTCTGTGAAATTATTTCAAAATGCTAATCCTCATAATTTTTTTCTGACTTCAGTAAAGCTTCTTAAAAAAAGAGGGCTACATTATTTGATGTCGGTAATTTTTGTTGCAAATATTGTAGTTAACTATTTCAATGACAGAAAAAGAATGTGTTGTTAGCTCACCTGAGCTGAAAGCTCAAGTGAGCTTTTCTGATCACCCGTTGTCCGTCGTCCGTCCGTCTGTCCGTCCGTCCGTCCGTCCGTCTGTCCGTCCGTCTGTAAACTTTTCACATTTTCAACTTCTTCTCAAGAACCACTGGGCCAATTTTAACCAAACTTGGTACAAAGTATCCTTAGGTGAAGGGGAGTGTAAATTGTTAAAATAAAGGGCCAAGTCCCCTTACAAGGGGAGATAATCAAGAAAAGGCAAAAATAGGGTGGGGTCATTAAAAAATCTTCTTCTCAAGAACCACTGGGCCAGAAAAGCTGAAACTTATGTGGAAGCATCCTGGGATAGTGTAGATTCTAAATTGTTAAAATCATGACCCCCGGGGGTAGGGCGGGGCCACAATAGGGAATCCAATTTTTACATTGAAATACATAAGAAAAATCTTTAAAAATCTTCTTCTCAAGAACCACAGGGCTAGAAAAGCTGAAACTTATATGGAAGCATCCTGGGGTAGTGTAGATTATAAATTGTTCAAATCATGACCCCCGGGGGTAGGGCGCAATAGGGAATCCAAGTTTTACATTGAAATATATAAGAAATATCTTTAAAAATCTTCTTTTCATGAACCACTGTTCCAGAAAAGCTGAAACTTATATTGAAGCATCCTGAAGTAGTGTAGATTCTAAATTGTTCAAATCATGACCCCTGGGGGTAGGGCAGGGCCACAATAGGGAATCCAAGTTTTACATTGAAATATATAGGAAAAATCTTTAAAAAAAAATCTTCTTCTCAAGAACCACAGGGCCAGAAAAGCTGAAACTTATATTGAAGCATCCTGGGGTAGTGTAGAATCTAAATTGTTCAAATCATGACCCCCGGGGGTAGGGCGGGGCCACAATAGGGAATCCAATTTTTACATTGAAATACATAAGAAAAATCTTAAAAAATCTTCTTCTCAAGAACCACTGGGCCAGAAAAGCTGAAACTTATATTGAAGCATCCTGGGGTAATGTAGATTCTAAATTGTTCAAATCATGACCCCCGGGGGTAGGGCGGGGCCACAATAGGGAATCCAAGTTTTACATTGAAATATATAGGAAAAATCTTTAAAAATCTTCTTCTCAAGAACCACTGTTCCAGAAAAGCTGAAACTTATATTGAAGCATCCTGGGGTAGTGTAGAATCTAAATTGTTCAAATCATGACTCCCGGGGGTAGGGCGGGGCCACAATAGGGAATCCAAGTTTTACATTGAAATACATAAGAAAAATCTTTTAATATCTTCTTCTCAAGAACCACTGGGCCAGAAATACTGAAACTTATATGGAAGCATCCTGGGGTAGTGTAGATTATAAATTGTTCAAATCTTGACCCCCGGGGGTAGGGCGGGGCCACAATAGGGAATCCAAGTTTTACATTGAAATCTATAAGAAAAATCTTCTTTTCAAGAACCAGTACTGCACCAATAAAGCTGAGACATATTTGGAAGCATCATGAGGTAGTGTAGATTCTAAATTGTTCAAATCATGACCCCCGGGGGTAGGGCAGGGCCACAATAGGTATATAAAGAGGGGGGAAATCTGGTAAAGAACAGCATGGCCAAAGTTACTCAGGTGAGCGATGTGGCCCATGGGCCTCTTGTTCATATTTGCGATGGAAGAACTATTTACAAGCTTTGATTGAATCAAAATTATTGTCCTCCTGTACAGTATAGATTTCTTATATAATACTATACTTTCCATTGTACAGATATCTTTCTTTTTCAAAAATTAATATTTTATTTTAGTCTAAATGATCAGAGAGGATTAAATTACATACAGATTTATCATAACAGCACATTTTAACAGCAAAGTAAAATTCTCAAAAATGCAATTCATATTGCTTTAACCAAGGAACAGAATTCTATGCATGGGTATTGCCATAATTTTTTATCTCCAGATGCTACTTTTCTTCCTTTATCATAGAGCTAGAGTCAGAGACTTCTGGTTCAGGTTAAGTTAATAAATTAATACTGATAATTGGAATAATGTATGGAACGGTGCGCAAGCAAGATTAACAATATATCGACAGAGAAACTTTAGGGCTTGAGAATACCTGTTATAAAACATATACATGTAATAGATTATCAAATGCAACATCGGTAAGGGTCTCTGTGTTTAGTTATCCTCACAAAATCCACAAATACACAAAATTGACTTTCAAACCCATAGAAATCATCCATATTCGTAAATTCTTTCAATTTTTTTCAATCAAGTTGAAATGATTCGCCTTAACCTTATTTCAAGTACAACTTGTTGAGTAAAAAATATATGATGTATTTTTTCTTAAATCAGCCAACCACTACTAAGCCTATCTTCACGGACACAGCTATTCCAGATATCATTCAATGTTCAGCTGGCAGTACATGTAGTGTTCCTTTAATAATAAAAGGGGAGTCAGGAAATATGTATGTATACTTTATACTCAAACTTTAGTTTATATATAGCTAACTGTTATGAACTGTTGAATGTTTGAAGTGAACAAATTACAGTACTTCATCATAAAGATTGTTCTCATAGTCTCACTTGATCTATTGTAGTCCACAAGTAGATACTGACAGCACTTTGGTCACTCATCCTATACGGACAGTTATGTATCCAGGAAAGACGAATGATACATTTCAAACAAATATAAAAATGAGCAGTTTGAAGGAAGGAGTTCACACTGTTTGTACTCACATTGTAGACAACAGGTATACTTTAACACAAGTTTTATCAATGTGTATCTTCATAATTCCGCTTTGACTTCTGGTTTGACAATGCCTCAGACATAAGCAGTACACAATAAGGATTCTGTTTAACATACATGATAAAAGTCAAATGAATAGCCAGACTGAAATTTATTTAGATGAAATATGTGGAGATAACGAACAGTATTCGAGCTCAAAAGTCCATTAAATCTTGCAAAATAGGAGCAGAGCAAACACGGACCTCTAAGACATCAGAGGTGGGATCAGATGCCATGGTGAAGTGAGCATCCCCTGCCGACCGATCACAACCACCGTGTGTTCTTGTCATGATCGGGAAATCAAGGAAATCAGTGTGTAAATAATGGTCTAACAATTAGTATGAAAAAGTCAGTCAGCATTTGATTTAATGAAAGGTTGTATTTGCTGACAAGGTCATTGTATCGACCATAGAACTTACGAAATGATGACTTTAAACGAGACTGCTGATATTCTTGTTTCATCAACTTGTTTGTCAATAACTTACCTCGTTTTAGAAATTGTTCATTCGTAGAGCATGCTCTTGCGTATCGAATCAACATAGATATAAACCCCGTATGCAGTTGATAAGGGTATACTGCAGCATAAATAAGGGAAGTTGACGATTGAAAAGTTAAAGTCATCACGTTTATCAAAAAGCTTTGTTGTTAGATTACCATATACGTCTTTTTCTAATAAAATATCTAAATATGAAACAGATGTGTCAGACACTGTGGTATCTTTTATCTCAAGCTCACTGGGATATATCGTGTCGACATAAGAAAGGAAATGACCATTGTTAATTGTCAATACGTCGTCGGTATATCTAAATGTTCGAGTTGAATGCCACAGCAAGTGTTTTCTTCTTTTCACGTAGAAAATTTTGAACAAGTTCTGCTTCATATGAATACAGAAATAGGTCTGCTAATAACGGGGCACAATTGGTACCCATGGGAATTAGATATAATGAATAGATGGCAACTCTACAGTCTAGCTTATTGAACAAACAAAAAATTATTATTTTAATGTTGAGGGTGCAGGGTTTGTTTTTTCAGTATATTTGTTTTAATGTTCATTGCAAAATATTGACATCCTTAGTAGTATCTTTTTTCATTAAAGTGTGTTTTTGTTTGTTTGGGATTTTTTTGTTTGTTTGTTTTTACAAAATATAAAGTACGTTTTGAATTACAGAGAGAAAGGGGATGAAATTTGCTTTAGGGTCAATTTCACATCACCAGTTACAACAGTGTCAACAGGAAACCACCTGGTGTGTAGAGATATAGGTGAAACACTGCTATGTATTTCGTATTCCTGTCCATTTAGAAAGAAATATATGGAAACGTTTTTCTTTTACAGAATTTTCAAGAACCTACAATTCCAGATACGTCTTCTGTCAATTGTTTAGAAAATAACACATGCCACGTGCTACTGCATACTCCAAAGGATAACAATGGCAATTGGTACTTTCAACTTTTTTAGTAATATGCATACATTATCGATTTGAGAACTTTCATGTAAATTACTAAGATGTGTCTAAAAATATTATAATTATTTCTTTTATCATGGAACATGAAATCATATATTTGCTAAATCAATTGACTATTTAGTCTATTTGTTTGTGTAAAGTTTTCAAAGGATTTCTCTACCCTACTTCACAGTATGAGGATTTTTCCCGACAATACAATCTGTGGATTATGTGCTTCTTATGAATGTTCAATGCAGAATCAATGACTTTCCTATATTATTTTTAGCTTAATCCCAAGACAAGCCCCATTTTCATCTGGAACTGCAATTCTTAAAACTAGCTTGACAACATTTGATCAAAATTTGTGTGTAACAGATATCGCAACCATTGCCAAACACAGGGAAACAAAGAAACTGTGTGTTGAAGTAAATGGGTACGTTCCTTTGTTCATATCTTTAATATACTATGAATATCTACATTTTTCTAGCTTTATACTAGTTTTGTTGAATGTTTCAATTCAATATTTGCTTTACTTTTCTCTTTCAAAATATAATTGCTTCATTTCATCAACATGTAATTTTATTTTTCATATTTTATTTTCCTTGATAATTTGATTTTTCCAGACACACAATATTAGTAAAAGAGCCTGGTTACTAGATTTTATTTTTTATTATTATTTCCCTTTCTCTTTGCTTATTTATTACAGATCTACAGATAAAAGGTGTATAATTGTGAATGCAGTTACAAATTTAACAAGTAAGAATCTCAATTGTGAAAAAAGAGTTCAGAAAAATATGTAATTGTGCGTTTTTTTTCAGTGAAATGAACTTTGAACTTTCCATGATTAATAATAATTTTTTAATAAATCTGTTTAGAATCACTGTGTAATAGTAAACCTTGTGGTGCTAATGGATATTGTAAGTCCACTTCTACTTCCTCATATGTGTGTATATGCAAAGTTGGATTTAAAGGAGTACATTGTGAAAACACAAGTAAGTTTGCTTCAATGGACTTTTTAGATAAAAACTTAAAGCTGGTTATGAACAAACAAACGAACGAACATATCCATACAGAAGACAGTGTTGATATAAATTAAAAATACAAACAAGGTCAAACAAAAAAAATGTTAAAAAATACTGTTTTATTTCAGCAAAACCCATACCAGTACCACGGCCATCTAACAAGTCCTCAAACGTGAGTGAATCTGTAGAAAAATTTGTCATTTCCAACAAATCAATGAATTATCATCAAACTATTTCTTAAATAAACATTCTTGACAGTCTACACCAATATTTGTGAACACAATGTTACCAAAAGAAATAACGTGTCAGCTGAACAAAGATTGCACGATAATGATACCCGTGCATGGAAGTCCAGTGAATAAGTAAGGGAATTATATATTTCTATATTTTGATACAATGTCTTTTTGTTATTGTCAGTGGAAATATTTATAATGAATCCCTTTTTTAACCAGGAGTTCCCTCCTTTTTGGACATTTGGATAAAGGAGTTGAGCCTGAACAAATTAATCTGGTTGATCTTACAAAGCCAGTCAATCAGTCCATTGCGCAATTCCATGTCACACCATCAGAAACTGGAACAAGACGCGTCTGCGTTCAAACAAGAAATTCTAAAACGTAATCATTTTTCTAACAATATGTAATTGCACTTTTTATTTCAATTATTCGTGTACTTTTATCTTTGTCTTACCAACTTTTGCAGGAACACTGATGAAATCTGTGTTAACGTTAACATCATACCAGGTAAATAACATTGCAAACAAGATACATCATCTCGATATTTTTTTCTAATTTTGATATTTGCATTATTTGTGCGGAAGATATTCATAACAGAACAAAATGTGTTTCAGATAACACTGTATCCACAACAGCGCCAGTCGTAAGTTACATGTATAAGTTTAGGGGGGAAAGTCTTAAATATCTTTAAAAGATGAAATAAAAACAACGTGATGATATATATATATGTATTGTTATAGAACTCTGTATAATTTATTTTAATTACTAGGACGCTTCTGTTTCATACTTTGAATCAAATACACCCAGTTCTAAACAATATATTTGTTCAATGAACATCTGGACGATGGTTTACACATCCACATATTACTTATTTCACATTCAGCGAACACGCAATCGCCGACTTTAACATATCATTAGCATTTGTAAAGACTGATAAAAATAGCAGCATCTTTGAGTGGTTATCAGATAGCTCTCGTTTTTAGTATTAAATCCCCAGAAGCATTATATAGATTGCTTTATAGGATACTGCCAACAAAGTACAATATTTTAAACAGATGACACCAGAAATAGTCTCTCCCTCATTACCAAATGGAACAGTATTACAATGTGAAAGCGCACTGGACAGCTGTCATATACAGCTTGTAACAAAACCAACACCAGGATCAAAATCTTGGTAGGAATAATTAAAGAAAGTATGCTTTCTTTTATAAATTAACTCGATATTTATATACCACGGATTGAAATAAGGTCTTTAAGGCTCCTAAAAATCATAACAATAAAAAAATGTAATCATTTTAGAGAAATGGTAATATTTATGTCTTAAAATGCTTTCTTTAATATTTTAGTCCAAGAATAGAAAACACGCCAACCTCTTCATTAGTAAATGTTCATGATTTTACATCAGAGACGGTTACAGCATCCGATTCAGTGTGTCACACAGATTTGTCCGTGAAACCCAATGCACCGGGTAATCACTCGCTGTGTATCAGGGCAAGACAAGAAGAGTAGGTTTTTAAAAAATATTTTATTTTTCATGCATGATGCGCGCATAATTAGTAATAAGATAATAATAAATGATTTAATGCTTCCCCCCCCCCCTTTTAATTCATTTTAGGAAAGCAGGGGGTGAGAGATGTTATGTTATCCAGGTGGTGACGAATGGCGATAAAACATTTGGTATGCTCCGTAGCATAGTTTTCCAACTTTTTCAATCCTTCATGCTCATAAAAATATGGAATATACTTATTGTTTTCCCTGCGCTTTTGTTTGCAAGATGAAATGTAACGTCTGTTTCCTGTATTTATGTTTGTAAGGTGGACCTTGCCAAGATCGACATTGTTACAATGACGGACGCTGTGAAGCAAACTCTATTTCCAAGTCAACATGCATATGTCCTGTTGGATTTGCAGGAAGCAACTGTCAGAAAAGTTTGTATAATCTTACCCGAATTACAGCCATTTTATTTTCTTATATGATACATACAGAATTCAATATTATTTATATTTACACCATATATTTTGATTTTAGGCCAATTTTCTCCCCTAATAAACCAAGGAAACACGGGCAAGGTAAATAATGTTATTACGTTTGATGAACTCTTATCATCATTATTATTATTCATCAATTTATAAGCATCAATCAATTTGTAGCACATGATTAACTTCTATTTGTTACCGTTCTTTTTAGCCAAACAACACTGCTCCAATATTTACGAACACTGCCATACCCGATGTAATACAGTGTTCAATAAGCACACCTTGTGGAGTCCCTCTAATCGTTACTGGTCCACCTGGAGACATGTAAGATAATTACCACCTTAGTATATTACAAAGATTCAGGTGTTTTCCATGATACCATCACTATCATTTATATCAGAAAATTGATTTAATCATGTCTCAAGAAAAATTGGAAAGTGTTTAAAAAAGTAAAATTTTGACTTTGATTTGTAAAACTTACTTGGGTTTTAAAATCTAGTAAAGATTTTAAATATTTTCGAAATTGATGCTCTTTTTTCATAGCCCCACAGTCGATACAGACAGTCCATTTGTTATCCATCCTGTAAGGACAGACACATTTCCAGGGAATTCAAATACTACATATCAAACAAACATCAAACTAAAAGCATCAAAGAAAGGTCAACGTAAAATATGCATAAATACTGTTCACAAAAGGTAATAATCAGCTGAGCCGTGGTTCTTTTGATTGCAATTTTTTTTTTTTCACTATTATTGATGATGACTAATTTCCTGTTTTATTTCAAAATAAAAGAAGAAAAATTGTGAAGGTGGTAGAGCTGATAAAATTTGCCATGTTTAATATGATTGTAGTTCAAAAGGTGATGAAATTTGCTTTAAAGTCAATTTTACATCTGGAACGCCTACCAAGCCACCTACAGCTGTACGTATTAAGAATTACACGATTCTTTTATCATTGTTGTATATGAATACAGTTTCAAAATATAACAAAAGTTACAGTGAAAAAAATAACCCGTATGACATATTATTTCAGGGCATACAAGAACCAACAATTCCTGATTCTTCTACTGTAAAATGTTTAGAAAACACGGACTGTCATTTGCTGATACATACTTCAAAAGATAACAGTGGTAATTGGTAAGGAATAATCATCGCAAATTATTAATAAATACCGCACCTTATGTATATATTCGATCTCATTTTTACGATCCTTGGACATATACTATTGCTGTTTATTCAGTGAACACCCCAAGGAACTACCACATACATCGGGAACAGTCATTATAAACACAGAAGTGACTAGCTTTGACCCCAATTTTTGTGTAACAGATGTTGTTACAAAAGTACAACATGGAGAAACTAAGAAGATTTGTATTGGGACCCACAGGTATCATTCAGTCTTGTGTATAAGTCTCATTATATTTTACAATAATGCAAGGCATCCTACAGATGTACAGTAAAACCACATACACAAAAAAGTAGATGTTGAATAAAACACATTTCTGTTTTGCAAAAAAATTGATAAAAATCTAGCTGCATTGGAAAGAATATAACCCTAATTTTTTCCTAAACATATTATTACAGTTCCAGTGAGAAAAGATGCATCATTGTCAATCCATCGCTTAATTCCACAAGTACGGTATTTCGATTTTATGTATTATGATATTCAGAATTATTTTTAAAGATTTGTTCATAAGAAGAGCATATTTTTTTTTTAATTTCAGCTTCCCACTGTCATCATATATCTTGTAATAAAGGGTACTGTTTTTCAAATGATCACTCCTTCACTTGTATTTGTCCGGTGGGAAAAAGTGGACGGAATTGTCAGAATCATGGTGGGATATTTTTCATTAAGTTTCAAATTAATTAGAATTGTCATAAAATCAATGTTATTTTACAAAATTTTATCATCTTTTTAGTTCCACATATTCCAATACCAAGAGATCCTTCTGCAAATATTACAAAAGTGAGTTGTTTCTTATTTTATTTAAGTGTTAAGGAAACTCTAAACACTGCACACTAAAGAGTTCTACTTGTAGGGTAGTTTATTCAGTTACAATAATGTTCTCTTAGAAGTAAGAAAAAAGGTTATTTACAGTTTATCACACAATTTGTAATATATTAAAAATATTCTTAACATTATATTAGACCAAGAGAAAGTAATCAAATTTATTATTTCCATTAATATTCCCAATTTTAGTAAACAACAGTGATTTCTGTTCACGAATATTCCATTGACTTTGAAACATTTTATCTGCGGAAATATGGCAGGTACCCTATGTTGAAATTGAACTAAATAGTCCCAATATGCAAACCTTCATATATTTTTCTCCAAGTCTTAAAAAAACAACACTTTTTGTTAGTGTTTAGAGCTTCTGTAAATGAGATTTTTCACAAATATTGAACGAATCGTATGAAAATGAATTATTCTATACATGTATATAAAAGTACATTATCATGTTTTAAGTTTGCATTGATGTTTAAAATGCACAAGACGACTGAAGGCAAACTGTTTGTTAAAAATGATTTTTATCATATTTTATTGTTATTTTTGTGTACAATAATAAAATGAATTATTTTCTCCAAAGATGTTTTACATACTTTGTTGTCCTTTAGTTATAGTCCACAAAAAATGTACTTCATTCATCACAAAAATTTACACAAAAATTTAAGCACACATACATTAACATGCGTATGTTAATTCAAAATGATTTGTCTAGTTCATCCAGCGTATTTTTCTACAATATTCATGACAATAGATTTTTTTCCTTGCTCAGTTTCATAAAAAATTAAAAATGATGTTTTATAGTGTTTTCAATCTTTATTGCAGAATTCAACTATATTTGTGGACACTGGTGTACCCACCGATATCAACTGCGTCTTGAATCGGCCATGTGAATTCCTGATGCCAATTTCTGGGCAGAATTTATCAATGTATAATATTCATTCTACAGAAAATCAGATCTATGAATCTTTTTATTTGAGTTATATCATGTCTTAATCATATAATTCATATTTTGATTCAATCTTCTTAGTACATGTTTCTTTTTTGATATAGCAAATCTTTAGCAATTGGATCTAAAAATGCGTCTTTAAAACTTTGTCCATTAACGCTGAGTGGTACTGATACGAAGATTGCTCATTTTTGTGTCAAACCAACTCAAGTCGGTACTGAAGTGATGTGTGTACAGACTCGAAATACTGTTGGGTAATATTACTTTTTCCTTCAATTTTCTTGATTAAAACTACCATTCATACATATAGTACTAATTCTTAAATTCCCGATATTTTATGTATTAATTTTCTACCTAATTTTGATTTTTTTATGTTATTTCCTTACAGGGTCACCATGGATGAAGTTTGTTTAAAGATTCATACCACTTCTGGTATGTTTTAAAGATGTAGTACTAGTATGAAATATATGGAGATAACGAACAGTATTCAAGCTCAAAAGTCCATTAAACAATACAAAATAGGAGCAGAGCAAACACGGACCTCTAATCATCAGAGGTGGGATCAGGTGCCATGGAGGAGTGGGCATCCCCTGCCGACCGGTCAATTTTAATATTTTTTTCTAATATAGCTAAATATCGTGTATGTGGACTTAAATATAAAGTTGTATTTTTTATTTCAGCCCCACAGACAACAGCAACTCCTCACACTGTATGTACAAACCTAAAATTATCATTTCACATATACATATTCTCTTTTGTAGTAATTCTACCCAAATAATTTGAATTCTCAGATGCCTGTTTTCTTCGGTGCAGCAAATTGTATATATTTATTGTATATTTAGGTGAAAGACAACGTCATCAATCCCTCATATCCAGATGGATCTGTTATTAAATGTATGGTGAATAAGACCTGCTTTGTCCCGGTAATTACAGAAAAGTCTTGGAATCCTCCATGGTAAGAAATTTTCAAGCAAGAATCTCTCAAATTATTGGAAATTGGAGAAAAACGTGTAAAGCGAATAAAATTCCTATTTAAACTTCACTGTTCAATAAAAAAGATACATACTGTATTGTAGTCCTAAAATAAAACAGACCGAGAGAACTACTTTGGAAATATTGCATGTTTTTACACCACGTTCTCCAAATAATGGTGCATGTTTTGGGAACATAACCATCATTCCTCAGCAGAAAGAAATAGGAAAACAAGATTTATGTTTCAAAGCAGTACAACAAAAGTGAGTTATATGTTAAATGATATAATTTCTTCTAGAGAAAAAAATCATCATGTAGTTTGCTTAAATTGGATTAACGTTGCACTAAGCCTGAATATATTTTTCTTTCGTATTTCTTTGTACATGCTATAAATTCTACAAATAAAATAAAACCACGCGTAGAAATTTTAAATGTAGAAAGTAATTGATAATGCTATATAATATATATGGAAAAAAAAATAATTTCTTAAATGCTTCAAACCTGCATTTAGCATCCCAATCTTCACTGAAATTCCATTCAGAGATATCTTTCTGAATCTCTAATATTTTTTAACTTTAGAAAGTATTTTATTTTCATGCTATTCAGGACAATGCGAATGTGATTTTTCGAATTTTGTAAGATGAGAAACTCACATATTTGTATTCCATATTTCATGCCTAGTTATCCAGGAACAGAGCACTGTTTGGTGATTGAGGTAGTAGATTCAGTTGACAAGTCAAAAGGTAAAGTTAGATCTGAATTCTATGAAAGAGCTGTTAAATTAATACTAAAGTAGGTAACTGATAACTGTCAAACAATTTATCTTTGATTAAACCACAAGAAACTATGAAGGATTTTTTTTTCAATATTTTATCATTAATATGCTTATTTTTGATTGATCTATTGTAATAGGAGGACCCTGTCAGACAAAACATTGTGAACATTTCAGCCAATGTATTTCTGATGTGGTCACTAACACTGCCATTTGTAATTGTTCTACTGGATATACTGGGGATCTCTGCGAGAAAATAGGTAAATTGTGACTTAAAATGTTTGCCTTATAGTGGTTTTGACAAGAAAAGTGATTATATTCTACTTTATATAATTAGTTTTAATGTAACAATTTCTTTAATTAATGCATCTACTACCAGCGAATCACATTTGTACACAGAATATGAACATTATTATAATTTTTGGCTAAGGTAGTCAATACATGTATTAAGGATCCTCTTTACACAGCATATTTGCTGGTATTATTTATGTTGTTTTAGAGGTCCGTATTTGCTCTGCTCCAAATTTTTATTGTTTAATGGACTTTAGAGCTTGAATACTGTTCGTTATCTCCATACATTTTACTATAAAATAAGACATATGTCCTTAGTTAAAGTCAACAGTGTATGTCTCCTTTTTAAAAAAACGATCACTCTTTTAACATTTTGTTGGACCAAAATATACACATTTAGGACTATTTGCATCTATTTTCCCATTAAAGTAAGCCACAGTGATTTCTTTTCATCAGTACGCCGTTCTCTTTGAACATTTCTCTGGGGTACTAGAAAATGGCCATTTTTAATCCTGTATTGAAAATGAAGTCGATAAAATTAATATTTACACCATTATGCACAGTGACTCAATCAGACACGTTCCTCAAATCACTAGACTCGTCATTGATTTAGTGTTTCGGCGGTGTGATACGAGGTTTATGATTTTTAATAGCTTAGAATATTATAATTACATTAATATACATGTACTGTAATTTTATAGGTAGGACCACAATTTAAAACTAAAATAACTGCTTTTTAGCTCAAATGAGCAAACTAAAATTCTATTATGTAAATTAGCAACAAAGAAGAAGATAAAATATGGAAAGTTTACATAATACAGTATCATCCATGTATACATACGCCAGAAAATTGTCGATCAGAAAAGCTCATATGAGCCTCAGGCGAGCTAAAAAAATAAATGTTTTTCCTTCTTTTAAATATGGTTTATCAGCTCAAAAATACAATAAAACACCTCTTCGGTTTTTTTTTTATTCTGGTGCCATATTTTTCATCAGCTTTTTCATAATATATGCAGATGCAACCACAGTGTCATCACCGGTATCAGCCATTATGACGTCACCTTCTGTCTCTCTCTTGGGACATTCTTCATCACAGACGTGTAAAATCAGTATGTACACGTTTCGTTAAATTCTTTTTAGTAAAACAAATACAATAAGTACAAAACTTAGATGAAATAATTCATTGCGTCAGTTTTATGAATATTGAATGCTTTTTTTATTAGACATTGAAGTGAATTTTTCTTGTTGTAGGTGTAAAAGATGCAGTGAGTAATCAGTTTAAAAAATAAGAGAAAAAACAAAATTTAAAAAACACACATATCGTTTTAATTTTATATTTGTACAATAAACATCAACAGCTGATATTTTAATCATAGAAACTTAACAAGTGTTTTTTTTTTTATATTAAATGTAGCTTAAAGCAGCTAGAAATGGAAGAGTGAAGTGCACGTGTCACAGTAAAGGTAAAACAAGCCAGGTGATTACAACAAACCCTACGGCGACATTGGATCAGCTTGTTAAAGCAGCCGGGATCGGAGCTGGTAGTGTAGGCGGATCTATCGCCATAGCAACGTTTATATATGTAATTGTTCAAAAACTTCGGAATCATTTGAAAGTCAAAGAAATGAAACGAAGACCAAAGTACATAAAATGATGTTATCAAATAGAGACTTTCAAGTGAAAGATTGTCATTTGTGATAATTTAATAATAGTTTTATGCAGCAAGATGTGTTCAATTTATTATATTTTTGAAAATGCCTTCTTAAACTCCTTTATAGTTTAGTCGATACTCCGTCTGTGTTGCTTTGTATTGTAGCTATTTCCACGCTTTGATTATTTTCCTGTTCCGGTGGGGGCTTGTAAAGTTTAAAGGCAGTGAAGAAAAATATAACTCCCAAAGCCTTTAAAGCTAACCACCAAATCATGATGCGCATGCCTAAATCATGTTTGTTGTACGTCCAACAGGAACCCTTTTCTCCACAGTCCTCTTGCCAAATTGTGCAAGCACTGTCAATAATGTATCCAAGCAAAACCGGTCCTGGAGTAGTTCCTACGAAATGTAAAGCAATGATTTTTATCCCCTACATGAACGGTTTTCTGATTTATTTTAATGTCTTTGCATATCGTAAAACAGTCAAAATGTTACCGGTCACAGAATGAATTGTTACTTGCATTATTTCTTTCAGATGGAGAAAACAAAGTAATTTGAGTGCTAGTCTGTGTTTAGAGTGAATAAGGGGAGAGGGACACTTTGAATCTAGATCAAGAAACATTTCAGAAACTTCCTTACAGCTGAACACGAATCATAAAAGAGAGCTATCTTTGTCTGCCATATTTTTCTACCCTAATCTATACTCCACCAGCCTCTATATAAGCCTCAGCTTTGTTAACGATTAAATGTATTTCGCTTCACAAGATTACCTGAACAGACGTCTCTTTTATTGTCATTATGATGGGCACGACAAAAATGACTTCTGTATGCCTGCCACATCAGGAAAAAAAGTTATCAAAGATCGATATTCGATACAAAGTGAAATTAACACAAATGCACATTCAATGAAATAAAACGTAAAACATCAACTGAAAGACAATGTAAGATAAATATGTATTAAAAGCAGTCAGGTGTAACGAATCCTAGGGTGTATATACCCCAGTGCTGATACAGGATTTAGGAAAACTAATACATGTATGGCGTATGCCTACTTAAGAGTCGTGTTCGGCTTTAATTCGTGGAAATGTTACATTGCCTTAAAGACATTTCAAAGTCATTGAAGCTGAGAATCGTAATCTATTTCTTAACTCCTTTATAATGAAATGCTTATGATATCCTTTGCAACCCGAATCGTGCAATGACATCGATACCCTTACCTAATAGACGTCCAATTAGAAGCTGGATACCCAGCGCTAAGGACCGCTGGTTGTCAGGTACACATCTAAATATGCGTAAAATAAGACATCAATACAAACAAATGGTATAAGTGTCGCAAGTCTACCTATATGATGTAGTTTGCGATTTTGTTTTATAAAATTCATATTGAAACACTCAAATAAAATATGAATTTTTTTTTTACAAACACGCTGTTACCTGAATATTGAAGTCACAACTGGAGACATTGTCATAAAGGTAAAAAACATGATGCAAAATAATAAGACACAGAAGGCATAAAACCAAGGGCATCTCTCTGAACAGCTACCGTCAACAGCCGCAGACTCATTTCTGGGAGAGTCAATACACGAACAGTTGAAGAATGACTAAAGAATAAAAGAGAAAAAGAAAAACTTCGAAGTTTTGTTTTAAAAATGAAAAGAAAAAGTTCTCTACGTAACAGAGACCTAATCTTAAACACAACCAAATGTACAATCTTTATACGAATATTTTAAGATACACTTACCTTTACCCCTCCGACAGTAGTGACGTTTGTACAACCTGCATGACATGGTGAAAAATACACTGTGTGATTTATGCCACAGATTGGTTCAAATGCTGACGTAGTACATCCGCAGCCCTTATTACAAACTGCTTTCAAATCGGACACTGAACTGTAAGAGTTAACTAGCAAATAAATAGAATGGCTAGTTTTTATATGATTTGTTAAGATTTTCTCATCATTGACTTTTATTCTATGCATTGATCATGATTTACGAATACTTTTTCACTTTATAAATTGCTAAGAGGACTTCTAGCTTGAATTGACCTTTAAGTAGCAAAAATTTGTCGGTTTGATAACCTAATTTTGGATTATTCGATATCGGAATACAAGAACGCTCATAAAATGGTTGTTGAAGATTTTCTTTTTCTCTTATTGTTGAGGGTTTTTTTTCTCTCTGTAAGATTATTCAAGCTGTTAGAGAACGGCTTGACCAAGTTTAAGATCCAAAATCCAGTTAAAATAATTTATTCCTGCTGCCTCGCCATAAAATCAAAATTATAACTTTTCAATCGGGTAAACATATCTTGCAAATTAAAAAGGCCATCACCTTTCTCCAGAGTATGGTGTGTCCAAGCCAAAGATTGGCTGATCTGGACAATTGATCAGAAATGTGGGCGCAAACAAAAGACAGGTAGCCATGCAGATGAAACAGAGTTTGAGGATACCAGGACAGCGAAGTTGTAATTTCTTGGGCAGGTAACCCCCTAAAAGCATGCCTCCTCCAGATCCAGGAATGGTTATAATCCCTTAAACGAGAAAGTACATGCGCACTTACTCATGCAAGTAAACAATTTAATAAATGGAGAAATATTTTTAATGACATGATTGAATAATACAACTTATATATCACTAAATACCCATAACACTTCCAGCTGTTGTTAAATCTACGTTAAATAGGACGTGTATAAGCTTTGCTCCAAACACCGCAGTGCCTCCAACTACGTTTAACTCGATTGTTGCTCCAAGTACAATGAACACGTATGTAGGATTCTTCAGCTTCAATTGTAGTTAAATTTAGTGTAATGTGTAAAAACAAAACTGTTTCGAATACTTTAAAGCAAATATCAAGGGGCCTGTTTTACAAAGAAGTTACGACTAAGACCAAAATGTAATTTTGGCAATAACTTTCTATCTTATATTCATTTTAAAATGGTTGTTATCTGAAATAAAATAATTTAGAAAGATATTTCATAGTAGTAACTTTTAATAGTCATTTATTTTTGCAAGATTTTACAATCTTCTAAAGTTTTTGGTCTTTGTCGTAAGTTCTTTTGTAAAATGGACCCAAGGTATCTTAAAACAATCTACCAGAAGCCATATTGCTTTAGGAATGTCTTTGATTTTTGTCCCAAAATCAGGTCTCGTAGTTGCTTCCGAATCTCCCGAATTGTATGCTTCAGATACTTTCTGTTTTTGCAAATCATCATATCCTATAGAACAGTAAGATTTCATAGTGCAGAATAAGTAAACATATTGATCAGGTTAAAGATGCAGCTAAAGGAAATTTTCGAAAATATATGTATAATATCATTTACCAGGGTACATAAAAGCGAGACATTTCCTTTTGGGTGTTACTTAGAGACGATGAGATAACAATATACCTGACACCAACGATATATCGTTTATTCGAATAAAAGTTAAAGTCCTGTTCCACTGTCTCAGTATTAACATGAGCCTATCTAGCATATGGTGCTCGGAATACTGTCAAAAAGTATTGCTATGATCGATCGATGTGTTTTAGCTCACCTGAGGTGAAATTGCTAATTGCTAAAAAAAATAGCTTTTTTGTTCAAATCACGCCCCTGTGTTTCGTGTGGGGCTACAAAATGTGATCAAAACTTTACATAGGAATACTTGTTTATTGGGGAAAATCTGATGCAGAACAGCAAGGCCAAAGTGACTCAGGTGAGCATTGTGGCCTATGGACCTCTTTTTTTTAAATTGACCAAGAAAAATTCTTGTACACCATTCACAGCCTTATGTATCAACCTGATTGGTCAAAAAGCATCCTTATATAAATTAAATTAATAATTTCTGTGAAATATGGGTTTTGACGTTGAACCTAAACTAACAGGCTTCTTCCAGAGCCAGTTGATTATCTCTCTTATTATAGGTTTTGAGAGTTCAATTCAAAAAAGTGCCCATTATATCAATACGTAATACACACAGTTATTTACTCTCTCTCTCCGCATAATTTTTCAATGAGATCATATATGTTAAGCAATGTTAAACAATAAAAGATTAATGCAAAACCTATGTAAGTGACGTACCTGGAAGACGCTTGGGAAATCCTAGTGTTGGTAAAAAGATGAAGAAGAAAGCAAAAAAGCTTACGACGATACCTATCCACCAGGCCCCGACCCACTGGGGGTCATCTGGAGTTAGTCCGACACTGTCATAAGATATAAATATATTTGTTTAAAATGGCGCGTGCCTTTAAACTGTTAGATTTGTTATGCTTCTTGATATGAATGGGGAGTAAGTCAACAAAATCTTTCTAGCAATCATGAACTAAATCTAATTGCAGTGTTTAACTAAAGAATGTGTTTAGATATCAAAACATAATATTTTATTTTCAGAGATAAGTATTAAAGTACATGTATTTTAAACAAAATGTTATTACGAGTACATGGTACAAAATTCAAATATACACATCTACATACGAATCTGAGGGAACTTTATCAATGTCGACGAATAATCCCAAGGTTTGTCCTCCGACAATGTAGCCCACAGCAACACCAACAGCAGCGCAACAAAATGTCAACGCTAAATACAAATCAAGAATACATTTCAGAGACGTTTTAAACTGCATATATTATTAAAAAAGATACTACTTATAATTGTGAAAGATACGGACACTTGCATACTTACAGACATAAAGAGATGTCATTTTCTGTTTGCAATTTTCATCAATATATGCAAGTGCAATAGTAAACATGGGTACTGCCCCGATACCGTGGAACATTTGTCCGAGGATAAACATGGCGTAATACTCGGTATAGGAAGACGTCTGAGCATCCTTGGCTTTGCATTGTGTAGAGCCGGAGGCGTGGTTTAAGCTGCACACAGCATCTGTTTCATTGTCCTTAGCATTGCTATCTGTAAAGTTATCCTTTGAATTTTGAAAATAAATTAAATCCAAAACTTAAGCTATCTTTCGTGAAAATAAAAGACAAAGCTTAGTAAAATCAAAACAAGATGTTTTTTTTTACAAAAGAGAGAAATGCAAGAAAAAGATTAATGTGTGATTTTTATGAAATTGTGAATAGAAAAACTGTTACCTGACAAAGTAAAGTGATATTTTTCTCCAATAAAATGTGGTAACAGAAACAAAAAGCTTCCAAGTGACATCACAAGAACACCAGCGGCCATTAATTTAGGTTTGTGCACACGTTCGCCTATGTATCCCACAAAAAGGAAGAAAACAAAAGCTCCAAAGTCATTTGCTGAGGCAATGATGGCAGACCGTTTGCTAGAGAGACTGTATCTCTTCTCCAATGCCGGAATGATGACATTAACGACACCATTAACAATGAATCCTTCAAAGAAATTGAATACACACTGCCAAAAAACGTTCCATTGTATGGTATTGAAGAACTGCAAGCATCTGAAAGCGGAAAAAATTATACAGTGTAATATTGAAGAAAACATCATACACGTACCGAAAACTGAAACAAAGAGTGTTCGATTTAATTGGAATTCAATGAAAGAATGTTTTTAATTTCCTTTGAATGCCTAAAAATGATATAATCCAAAGGAGAGTGGAATCTGAAAAGAATTATATTGATTCAAGAAAAGATAATTATTCCTTAACATTTCAACCATTTATTTGTTCGCATTTCTTTTCTGGTTTTAAATAATGTCGTACTTGAAATCCTTTGCATTTTTAGCTCACCTGAGCTGAAAGCTCAAGTGAGCTTTTCTGATCACTCGTTGTCCGTCGTCCGTCTGTCCGTCTGTAAATTTTTTTACATTTCAACTTCTTCTCAAAAACCACTGGGCAAATTTTAATCAAACTTGGTACAAAGCATCCTTGGGTGAAGGGAAGTTAAAATTGTTAAAATGAAAGGCCAAGTCCCTTCAAAGGGGAGATAATCAAGAAAATGCAAAAAATTGGTTGGGGTCATTAATAAAATCTTCTTCTCAAGAACCACTGGGCCAGAAAAGCTGAAACTTATGCAGAAGCATCCTGGGGTAGTGTAAATTCTAAATTGTTCAAATCATGACCGCCGGGGGTAGGGCGGGGCCACAATAGGGAATTCAAGTTTACATTGAAATATGTAGTAAAAATCTTTAAAAAATCTTCTTCTCAAGAACCACTGGCCCAGAAAGGCTGAAAACTTATTTGGAAGCATCCTTGGGTAGTGTAGATTCTAAATTGATTAAATCATGACCCCTGGGGGTAGGGCGGGGCCATAATAGGGAATCCAAGTTTTATATTGAAATATGCAGAAAAAAATCTTTAAAAGTCTTCTTCTCAAGAACCACTGGGCCAGAAAGGCTTAAACTTATGTGGAAGCATCCTGGGGCAATGTAAATTCTAATTGTTTAAATCATGACCCCTGGGGGTAGGGCGGGGCCGCATTAAGTACTACAAGGGGGAGAGGGAGAAATCAGGTAAAAAACAGCAAGGCCAAAGTTACTCAGGTGAGCGCTGTGGGCCATGGGCCTCTTGTTTCAAGATGTTCTAGTCTGATGTCATGTACATGTGGCAACGCGGATTCTTTGAATAATTTGTGTTTATCCTCTATTGATATCAGGGATGGTCTAACTTATACACCAACCAGTACTCATCTCCTGTAGTCTATTTCTTACCTTGGCTTAAAACAACAACAGCCATACGGTTCTATTTTCTTCTCTGGCTTATCACTCTTTCCACCATCTTGACTTTTTTTGCTCATCGGCATTAGTTTCTTAAATGTAAAAAAAAAACCACTTTCATTTTAAAACATCTACATATTTTTTTGTTTGTAATTTAAATATAAATTGTGCCAAATCTTGAAACTAATTTAATGAAGATTGTACTTTCAAAGAATGCATCGAATATTTGCAACATACCTCGGTTTGTTGTTCATCGAGCGACATTTTTGGTTGTTTTTAAGCTAACATTTGTTTATCTCATTATACAGATGTAATTCCAATTCTGTAGATAACAAATATATCAGCCAAACTTACAGAGTGTCAATTTGTTTATAATCCTTATTAAAGATAAAGAATTGCCCTGACAACCCATGTTCTTGTGCGTGATGATAGGGGAGTTGATCAAAAGTAATGTCATTGTCGGTGTACAATAGTCAGGTCACTTTGGAAATGCGTACGCGTGGGATTTTTAGAAAATTTAAACAGTGCCATTTTGTTTACAATTCTTATTAAACATAAAGAATTGTTCCGCCAACAATATACAATGCGTGGTGAGTTGTTCAAAAGTATTACATGGTTGAATTATACCTAGCTTTCTGATTGGCTGAGATCAAAGCCTGTAGAAAAAATATGTTATATTCACCTCCACGTGACCTTCCAACTTCTAAATTTATTTAGTTAGTTAAGAAAAGGTATTCCAACTGCACCATTCACGTGAACATAACATTCAGGCACATTTACCATTGATTTAGTTTTAAAATGTTCATTGAAAGGCTGCTGCCCCTACCCCCCCCCCCCCCCCCCCATCTTTTTTTTATATCAAATTTAGCCCAGTGTCAGACCTGCACGAACAAAGAAAATGAACAAATGCTCAATAAAATATCTTTTTTTTTGTATTCTTGCAGTAACTCAACACCTTTAAAATCTAAAAGTAAAAAGTATTTGAAACAAGATATGTTTGAGCAACACTGATGTAGCTCAAGGCTAAGATTGAAGATTAAAGTTTTTGCGGACACAAATACTAATCAAAAATTATGTGCCCCCAAATCTTCGATAACGGGGGAATAAAAAGAATATGACTAATTTCGGAATACTTACTAGAAACAAAAATAAAAATACTTTGTGAAATTTACAGAAATTGACATTGCCCACAAACATGCTGGTTCTTACTATTGAAAATCGGAGGAAAACAGGCTGATCCTTTCTCTAGTTATACTAATGACCCCTGTCTGACAAATTACATAGTATGTATATATGACCTATTCATGAACTAGTGACATAATTTATAAATATTCTCTTATACAGAAATGTTTACTTAGATCGGGTCTAAGGTGATCTTCTCATATTTAATAATGATCAAACAATCTCTTGGCGCATTGAAGTATAAATATATGCGGATATGCAACATTTTTCGAGCATGTAGATATTCACAGTGCTATTTTAGTGTTGGGTTACTATTGCGAGGTATCCAGTCCCTGTGGTTCATATTATGAAGGTTTTTATATATATACTAGTATTCTAATATTCATATTATACAATAATTTTTGGACGTTTGCTAGTATATGAAGTTCTTAACTGCTAAATGATTCTAGCATCAATCTAAACAAGTCTTTTTCCTTAAGCCAAGTGATATTGTATTTTAAAAGTACCTTAAAAACTTCTTGAAAATGTTTTGAACGATAAAAATTGTTCCTTAAAAATAGGCCATACAAGACCCAAATGTGTAACCATTAATAATAAAAATTTGAAAGTTAAAACAGTACAAATATTTTATGTCGCCTTATCGCTGCAAAATATATGTCTCATAACTAATATACTAATTCAAAATTGAAAAAAAATCATTCGTCAAATAAACAGAACCACTTAGTGCAAATTTTAACAATTTTCGTTCTAATCCAACTATACAAATATCGAGCACATATGGAAGATTTTTTTAAAAATAAAAATGTTAGCGAAACAATCTTTATTATTTTTTTCTCCATCTCGATTTTCTCTGAAATGGTCGCTATCAATACCATCAGCTATACGAGGATTGGCCACTGTCTTAAATGGAACTCGTAAATTTGCATACTTTGTCATAGGTCATCTGAAAACTTATTTTGTCAAAAAGCATTCTGATTCTAAACAAAACCAATCCAAGGTTGATATTGAAATTGAGTTTCTAATTGATAAAATTTCTGTTGCTTTTGTAAACCAGTCTTCCAACAATCTGTTGGAATTCGAATGGGTAATAATTGTGCCCAGTTATTAGCAGACTTGCATGTTTCTGTATTAACATGAAGCAGAATTTATTCAAAAACTTCTACATGAAAAGGAGAAGTCTCTTGCTGTGGCCTTCAATTCATAATTTAGATATATCGACAACGTTTTATCAATTAACATTATTTAGTTTCATTCCTACTTTGATTAGATATATCCGATTGAACTCGAAATAAGACACCACAGTCTGACACTCTGTTTCATATTTGGATGTTCTACTAGAAAGATATTGATGGCAAACTGACAACTGAACTTTATGAAAAACGTGATGACTTCAACTTTTCTGTCGTCAACTTTCCTTGCTTATGTAGTAATATACCATTATCATCTTGAGTTTATGTTTATGTCTCCAGTTTAATCTATATGCAAGAGAAAGCAAGCTATTGACAAATAAGTTGATGATTCAAGAATATCAACAATCTTATTTTTAAATTCAAGCCTGCCTCTTCCTAAACACAGATCATTTTTTTCCATAGCAATAGATGAATCTCAAAATATAATTTGGATAAATGGACAGAACATTCTTCTTCCAAATATGTCTATATTATATACAAGAATTCACCTTCATCATTTTCCATTTGAAGTTATCATACTGCTGCAGCCAACATTGCATGCGGAAAGAAGTAAAAAATCCGGTATTTGGCAAACACGATTCGAACCCACCAGTATTAAATATCCACAGTCAACGTTACAAGAAGATATGAAAAAAATATTTACCCTTTGCAAAATTATTTTAAAAATCTGTTAAGTAGCAATATACGAGTTTTGTCCGCAGTGATGATTATTTTTCACTCTAGACAACTTGTCCACGATTTTACCGGACAAACCTCGGTTGTTATTATTTTCAATAATTTAAAAGCTACTATTGTTCCTTCAAAGAAATTTAAAATAATAAAAAATCGGTAGAAAACATACGCTTTTGTCTGGATCGACTTTGAACATGTCGACAATTGGTCGACTAGGACAACTAGCAAGGAAAACAGGCCCAAATACCATTCAGAGAAACAGACCTACGCATCTCAGAGTAATTCGTTTGACTACATTTAATGCAAACGCAAATAGGAATACTAGAACTTTTCAAGGTCTGTATAATCAATAATAATAAATACATTCTTGAACAAATAAGGGATTTTCCAGATCTACATGAAACATTACAAAAACCAAAGGAAACTATTCATCTCTCGTTCTGCTATTTTCCTCCCAAAGCTTTGTGATTTTGATTATGCATATAGATATGCGAAATGTAGTTCAAGTTAGGCAAATCATGAAGTCTTTGTGGAATCTTTGTTTTTTTTCAATAGTCAGTTGAGGTCCTATTTTCGTTATAAAATTGTTTGTTGCAAGGGTACTAGTATGCAGAAGACAGGGAAGTTATGGAAATTTGCGTAATGTTGGCAACTTGTTCTTTCGCGGTATTGCGCTGTTTGTTGTTGCAGCATACATAGGCCTTCGGTGTCATATTTTTTTTTTACATTTTTCATTTGAAAATTGGGTATTTGAGCAATTTTCATCTTACTCAAAATTGTGTCACCACGAAAATTAACCATACACTTGCATTTTGGGCATACTCAAACTGAACATATCAGCATAAAAATTTGCAGAATAAATGTATACAGAATAAATGGAAAAGGGATATTGTTTAGAAAATGTCCTACTCAAAACAGATCTAGAGCGAAATTGTGTCCAAGAACTTGTATATAAACGAACTTAACAGTTCAGTGCAAAAGGCATACATTTACACAGCCTTAAGCACTTAAACTAGCATTCCTACGACGTTACTAATATGTTTTCTATTGATGAGTAGACATAACATAGTTTAAAAAGAAATGGTTAAACTCGTGTTTAAATGCAGAGTTATGCAGTCATCACATTTGCATTAGCATAACAATTGCTTTCATGCATTGTCCGTTCAATTGCCTGCATTTTTTTTACGTCAGAAATATATTTAAAATAACTATACACTACTCCTTTGATTGTAAATAATATAATACTTTTAGGTCACTTTGGTACAAAGCATAACACAGCATAACAATAGAATACACATTCTATAGGATTTTACAATTCTCCTCATAATTTTCTTATTTTTCCGTTTCCATGGAATATTCATTTTCTGGTTTAATAAGTTACTTATAAGACCCCACAAGTAACTTTTTTCCCATTCACCATAGAAGGAGATAGACACTTCTCGGCCATTTATCGTATATCCAGCAAGATCCCCTTTCTCCACATGTAATTTGCCAAACCATACAGGTGCTGTTTAAAATGGTGCTTAGAAAAATTGAACCTGGCGTTGATCCTCTAATAGCAAATTTTTTAAATACATTTACTATGCAGCAAATCGATCGTCTATAATTTTATCTTTAACTACTTCAAAGGATTTAGTAGATAACGATTCTACTTCATTTCATAGTTGCTTATTTTTTAATTCGAATTCTATTCAACTTTTGAGTGCAGAGGACAGGGAACCTAAAACTTAGTTTTTAGTTCAAGAATACAACATTCTGACAGAAAAAAATGGAATCAATGACAGTCCAATTTGGAAACAAACAACATGCGTTTCATAAGTCATATATATATTTAAAAAGTAATCTTGATATCATAGTTAGCTATTTGCGTACATAAACATTGTATGATTTGCTGATTAATTTTCATGATAATTCTTGTTTCAAATAGTTTTAGAGAGGAAAATATGAATGAACCATCTACATTACTATTCTAAAAAAAATTGCTTGTCCCACCCTAATGAATGCTACAAAAAGTATCTGTCCCATCATACATTGCACAGGTCCCACCCTGGTAATAAATATTGCCTGGCTCTTTAAAGCGTTTCCAATAAGCAGTATTGCGTAGTATAACTATGTTTCTTTCAGTCATGCAAGATGTTTTGCTCGAGTTGGAGGCAAAATAGAGGTTTCCTGTTGAATTTTTGGTGGTACCTGTCTTTCATGAAAAATGAAGTTGACGAA